GAGCACAGCTTCAGCGAGGGGTGGGCCAGGACAGCCAGGAGCGACCCCGCCCCTCGGGAGGGAGGGGTGAGGGTGTGGAGGGGCGGGGCTCTGGGAGGGCTGAGGGTGGATGGGTGTGGCCACGGGTGGGCGGGGCCTCGGAGGGGTGGGGCTTTGGGCGGGCTGTGTATGAATGGGTGTGGCCACGGGTGGGCGGGGCCTCGGAGGGGTGGGGCTTTGGGCGGGCTGTGTATGGGTGGGTGTGGCCACGGGTGGGCGGGGCCTCGGAGGGGCGGGGCTCTGGGAGGGCTGTGTATGGATGGGTGTGGCCACGGGTGGGCGGGGCCTCGGAGGGGCGGGGCTCTGCGATGGGGCGGGGCTTAGTTGGGCGTGGCCATCGGTGGGCGGGGCTTTGCAGGGCTGGCACAGAGCTGCTCTGCCAGGCACGTGGCGCAGGTCAACACCCCAAGCCTGTGGCCACACAGCAGATGGTACTTCGCAAACCCTGCAGCCTCCCAGCTCAGGACAGTCAGTGCCTCTCACTACCGGATGCATCAGCTGCAGGATCCCCAGAACCTCATAAGCACACCGGGGAGGGTGGGAGGGGAAGGGGTTGCGGGATGCAGGACCCCAGAATGTGCAGGACGATGCTGTCCCCTGTCAGACACTGCAGGGGGACAGAGGCGCAGGACCAGATGAGCACCACTTTCACACGCCCCCAAGGCGGAGGGGACCGCCGGGTCAGCCCACAGGAGACACCCCCCCCACACACACACACTACTTCCTGGGTGCTCTGGTCTGGCTGGGGGGACAGGACTCGGGTGCGGGGAGGAGGAAGGGGTGGGAGCTCAGGGTCTCTGTGCAGACCCCAGGCCTTGTAGCTGCAAACACTCCCACGAAGGGCTGGCACTTATACAAAGGAATGTTTCTGTTTTTCAGTTCCCCAGAAAGGGCACCCACATTTTCACTTGCTCCACCAGGCCCCTACTGGGGGAATGGTAGGACCACCACCAGGTGCCAGGTGGAGGGTCTCAGGGACCCACCCATGCCAGGTTGAGGGCAGGAGTGGCTGCTGGCTGGGGAGTTGGGTGCAGCTCACGCCCTTCCCAGTTCTGCATCTCATCATTCTCTGCCAGCTGCTCTCCCACCGGAAAGAGAAGGTCCAGTCAGACCACATAGAGGCCAGTGGTCATCCCGCGCTGGGGTACAGGGGTCTGGCCACAGGGTTTGAATCAAGGTTGCTCCTAGTTCCATTCCCCAGTGACCCATCCCCCACCCCACCCCCGCCATGCCAAGACCAGCCGGTGGTGACTTGTGTCCCCGGGGCCATCCAAGTGACACCAGCTTGAGGGGAGCTCAAGTGACCCTCCCCCAACTCTCTGATGCCAAGAATTGCCCCCATGATCCCTGTAGCGCTGTCCTACATCGATTTGCTAGTGGACCCAGTAATGTCTCCATTGTGAGACTTCTTGTTACTGTGTTTGGCATATCGAATACGTCACAGCTAGCTTGCCAGGCTTTGTGGGCGAGATACTCTTGGTGGAGGAATCGAACCTGGCTCGGCCGGGCCGGCCATGTGCAAGGCAAACGCCCTACCCACTGTGCTATCGCTCCAGCCCACCATGATCCCTAAGGAAAGCAGATTCACTGGTCCAGCTCCAGAGGCTCAGAAGCAGTAAGCATGGTCCCAGCCTCTAGATTGAACTGGTGCCACCGTGCACGGCGGCCAGTACCCTGCCTCTGACTCCGCCTGCCTCCTGGTGTAAGGGAGGGGTATTCCTGCTCCCGGAGGGGGTCGCGAGCCCAGGTCTGTCCGCTCTGCAGCTGTGGGGTGCATGGGAGAGCTGGAGGGGCCGGCAACACCCCTAGCATGTTCCCCAGAAGGCAGGAGATGTGACTCTCTCAAGCACCCCCCTGCTCCGCGTCGAGGGCTGAGAGTAACCGTTGGTCCTTGCTGGGGCTCTCAAGGGGGCTTTCCTGCCTCACAGCTTTGGGCATTCTCTGAACCCCGATTTAACTTACCACCACTGCTCGTTCTGGGGGGAAGTCCCTGGGTGCTCACCTCACCTGGTTTCTGTGGCGACTCTTCCCTCCCCCCCCAGAAGCTGGAGGGGGGCTCCCCGGTCTCTGAGTCTTGTTAGATGGCCCTGAGTGGAAGTGGGGCGCTGGGGGAGGCAGCCACCTGGGACCCCCCAGATCCTGAGTATGCCATCGTGGCTCCCTGCGGCCCGGACACTGGAGTCCCTCCGGAGGTTGAGTTTAGGGGAGGGTGAGGGTCCCCACTCAGGGGCCAGGCAGCTCCGCTCCTGGGCACGCTGCAGGCAGGGACCTGGGGATCAGAGGCCCTTCTCTGGGTCACCAGGGTGGAGCGGGAGGGGGGGTCTTCTTTCTGGGGACACCTGGGGAGCCCCCAAAAGTAACACTGCAGATTGGCTGCTCACAGTGCAGACTGTCCTGTAGGAAGCGTCACTGGTCAGTCCCGGTCTCCGAATCTCTTGGCCCTGAAATCCTAAAGGGGTGGGGGTCCCTGGGGGTGAGTGAAGCCATCCCTGGAAGTCCCAAGGCTGCCCCCCACCCCACCGCAGGGGGACTCTTGGATTTGCATTGGTTTGTCCTCTCTTTCTCCTCAGGGAGCTTAGGTTTATTGAGCCACTCCCGCCACAGTGCTCCCAAGCCACACTCAATTCTCCCTGTTGCCCTGTGTTTATCTTTGACCTCTCCCTGGTGCTTTTCTTCCCCTATCGGCTAATCACTAATATCCCCAAATCAGACCTGTAATCCTGTAATTTGTAAAGTTAAGTTCTTCTGTGGGCGCTGGATTTTGTACATGGAGGTGAAATAGTCGCTTTTCTCCTTCCTTTATGTCTTTTGTGTACTGGAGCGATAGCACAGCGAGTAGGGCGTTCGCCTTACAAGCGGCCAGCATGGCCGACCCGAGTTCGATTCCTCCGCCCCTCTCGGAGAGCCCGGCAAGCTACCGAGAGTATTCGATATGCCAGACACAGTAACAACAAAGTCTCCAATGGAGACGTTACTGGGCCCGCTCGAGCAAATTGACGATCAACGGGAGGGCCTTTACCTTTACCTTTACCTTTTGTGTACAGACACGGGGAGAGAGTTGATGCTACGCTTTTGTAACATGAGCGTCCGTTGACTCAGAATAATATTCACTCCTGGGAAATCTGTCATATTCACTTAAGCCTCAGTTTCTGTTACTTCCTAATACCCCCAAAAGGAGGGTCTTGGCAAGGGACTTGGGTGGACCCGGGGCAAGCCATAAGCGCCCCTGGCATCAAAAAGGGACAGGCCAAGCGCCATAAGAAGTAGAATAAGTTAAGAGCACAGTCATGGAACAAACTCTGTCATGACCCAAAAGGAAGTAACTGAATAAGGACCCTGCGAGGGTTAAGGAAAGACTCACTTGGCCTGAGGACGACAGTCTGGGATATATGGCAAGATGGTCCCAGGAAGAGCCGCCCTTAAAGCTTAATACAACTCCTCCTGTGTGAGGAAGAAGAGGCTGCTAAAATCTCAGGGCTCGACACAGGGGATTGCCCTGCCACAGAGGCAGGGGGGGATGGGGGAATAGGGTGGGGAGGATATTATCCATGGTGGTGGAAAATGGGCACTGGTGGAGGGATGGGTATCTGATCATTGTATAATCAAACCCAAGCACAAAAAATTGTAAATCTACAACTGTACCTCATGGTGTTTCACTAATAAAAAAAAAAAATTAAATTAAAAAAAAATCTCAGGGCTCGGAGGAATAGAGACGTTACTGGCGCCCACTGGAGCAATTCCACGATCCACAGGATGACAGTGACACAGTGAGTTCAGCTGTGTCCATACAAAAACGACTAGAAATATTGTTAAGTAAATTTAACGTGACTGTTCAAATGGATACTGGCGGGGCTGGAGCGATAGCACAGCGGGGAGGGCGTTTGCCTTGCACGCAGCTGACCTGGGTTCGATTCCCAGCATCCCATAGGGTCCCCCGAGCACCGCCAGGATTAACTCCTGAGTGCATGAGCCAGGAGTGACCCCTGAGCATTGCCGGGTGTGACCCCCCCCCAAAAAAAAAAATCAAAGCATGAGCTGGAGCGATAGTACAGGGGGGAGGGCGTTTGCCTTGCCTGCGGCTAACCGGGGTTGAATTCCCAGCATCTCACCTGGTCCCCCGAGCACCGCCAGGAGTAATTCCTGAGTGCATGAGCCAGGAGTGACCCCTGAGCATCGCTGGGTGTGACCCAAAAAGCAAAAAAAAAAAAAAAAAAAAAATAATAATAAATGGATACTGGCTAAGGAAATCAAGACACCCCCAGATGGAATCCCACCTTGGGGCGGATCTCCTAGCAGGAATCCAGGGTGCCGAGTACTTGCATGAGGTTTTGTCCCTGATTCAGTCCCCAAGAAGAGCGTCCCCTAAGGAAGGGCTTGGACGACGCTCAACCGCACCTATGTGTAACTGTTGCCACAACCCTTCGTGATTTCTCTAGAACACTGCGAGGCTTGAAACCGGCCACTGCGTCCCAGGCGGCCTGCGGTTCCTTGTCCCTTGGTCCGTCCATCCAAGGGTGACCGGCCTGAACGCACCAGGGGAACCTCGGGTCACCGCGGGCGGGCCAGTGCCTCGCCAGCACAGCGGCGGGGGACAGTGCGGGTGCTGGGGCTCCACCCCTGGCCTCCCTCCCGGGGGCCCAGCTCAGGGCTCAGCCCCTGAGCCCTGTTCCTGGCGCAGCTGGCAGGACCCCTGGGTGGTGAGATTCGGGGGGGGCCCTGGCCTGGTCCAACACTGGTCACCCACCACCTTCTCCTCTCCTCCCCGGACTGCCGCTCCCGGCACGCCGAACCCCTCCCGCCGGGGCTCCGTGTCCGCGCGCCCAGGGGTCCCCGGGACCCTCCCCTCCGCCCCGCTCCCGCGCGCGCCTGCGCCGTGCGCCCGCCGCACCCCGCACCTGCGCGCAGGACGCGGGCGCTGCCCAGCCCCGGGCGGGAGGCGTCCAGGTGCGCGGCTGGCCAGGATGAAGCAGGTAGGGCGGCGGGCGGGGCTGCCCGGGGTGCGGGGCCAGCCGGATCCCGCGGGGCTGCGGGGGGGCGCGCGCCTGGGGGTGGGGGGCGCAGAGGCGGGGCGCGGGCCGGGATGCTGCCCCTGGGTGTCCCCGCAGGCCCTGGTGGATGACACCGAGGATGTGTCCCTGGACTTCGGCCGCGAGGAGGAACAGGCGCTCCAGAAAGCCAGGATCAGGTACGGGGCCGCTGGTGGGGGCGCGCGGACCCCCACCCCCCACCCCAAGCCCCGCAGATTCGCCCGTCCCCATCCGCCCTCTCCTGGCTCCTTCCTTTCTTCCTTCCTTCCTTCCTTCACCCAGTGGACAGGCGCCGGCTTGGAGGCCCCCTCAACCCGCGGGCAAGCCCTGCCCACTGCAGGCTGGGCGGTCACTGAGCCCGCCCCCAGGAGGTCAGCAAGCGCTTTCAGGGGATGGGACAGAGGGGTGGGGGGTGAGGAATGAGCTGGATGGTGGGAGTGGGGGTCCCTGAGCCCCATCGCCACGGTGCGGCCGGCGCCCAGGGGTGACGCGGGAGCGGGAGCACTGGGAGGAGAAACCTCACCCCTGCAGGCTGCGACTCCAGCGTTGCAGGTGGTGAGCGGTGGGCAGGGGCAGGGCAGACCCGCGTCTGGAGGGGACCGCGGGAGCGCCCAGGAAGGGGGCGTGGAGCAAGGGCTTGAATTTGTACTCAACCCCCCCCCTCACCCCCACCCACCACCCTTTCAGCTCGGGACGCACAGACAGACCCACTTGGTGTCCTGGGTCAAGTCAGTTATCCACCCCCAATGCACAGCGTCCTGGGGTGGGCAACCCCACAACCAGCTCGCGGGTACAGAGGCTGGAGTGCACAGACCCGCCTCCAGGGACCCTGTGTCCATCCCCCAGCGCTGCTGGAACCCCTGACCTGAACTTACTCCTTCACACAATGGAAAGTCAGCCTCCGGCCCCGGGACGCACAGCTGAATCGCGCCTGCAAAGTCCCTTTGGCCCTTTCATGTGACCTTCGCCCCATCCCCAGGATGTTGGGGACCCAGTCATGAGCCGGCCACCGTGATCCGTGATTATGTCTGAGAAAAGACATTGAAAGAACCCCAGAATTCCGGGGAGAGGAAGGAACCAGGGGGCACCTGAAATCACCCCAGTTCCGTCTTGGTTTTTTTTTGTGGGGGGGTCACATCTGGCGGTGTTCAGGGTTCGTACTGGCTCTGTGCTCAGATCACTCCTGCTGGTGCTCAGGGGACCCTACATTGTGCCAGGGATTGAAGCCGGGTCAGCCAGATGCCAGGCAGGCTCCCTCCCCGCAATACATACAATCTCTCCAGACCTGATTTTTTTGGCTTGGGAGCCATACCCGGCGGTGCTCAGGGCTTTACTTGTAGCTGGACGCTCAGTGGAGCTGGGCTTGGGGCCAGAATTGGCCACCTGCAAGGCAGGAGCCTGACCTCACCGGGCCCCGAGCCTGCATCTTCAAGCCACTGTGCTCAGTGACAATACTGACCTACTCTGGGACCTTCCAGGGGTCAGAGCGACAGGACAGCATGTTGGGTATCTGCTGACCGGGTTCGATTCAGGCATCCCCTATGGTCCCCCAGCATCCCCAGGAGTATTCCTGAGTGCAGAGCCAGGAGTAAGCCTGAGCATCACCAGATGTGGCCCCCAAAATAAAACAAAAATAATCAAAGCAGGAGCCTAGGGAGACCGCCTGGAGGAGCCATTGTGTGGGTGCTCTGGGGAGCAGTTTGCACCCCCAAGGCCTGCAGGAGCAGAATCGCCCCACGGTTGAGAGCGGGGCTGTTGGTTTCTGGGGCTGGCGAGGAGGTTGCACTCTGTCCAGATTCTACCCTTGAGACGCCAGGAGCACCCCACCCTGTGGCAAAACCGGAGAGGTGGCTGGCGAGGGGATGCACAGGGCAGGAGCACTGACTGTGCCGCAGCCGAGACTCCGTCCCTGGCACTACAGAGTCTCTGAACACTGTGCCAGGAGTCGCTCCCGACATCTCCAGGTGTGACTGAAAAAAAAAAAACAAAATAAAATTGTCTTCATCAGGGGCTAAATGTCCCCTGGTTGAGAAGTCCTGGTTGCTTTTGTTTGGGGGCCTCACCTGGCGGTGCTGGGAGTTTTCTCCTGGCTCTGAACTCAGGGGTTAACACTGGGAGGGGCTCGGGGGCCAGTGCTGGGGATGGAACCCAGGTCAGCCACATGCCAGGCAAACGCCCTGCTCACGGTACCACCTCTGGCTTCAACCATGATTTGTCTGGGGGTTGACTATGGGGTCTGCAGTTGGGAGTACTCAGAACTCCCACTTCCTCATGTCTGACAGGACCCCAGGAGGCCATGAAGGCACAAAAACACTCATTCCCACCCCGGAAGATCCACTCTGGGTTCCCTCTGTTCTTTCAGAAAGTCTGTTCCCCCAGGGCTGGAGCGATAGCACAGTTGGGAGGACGTTTGCCTCGTTCGCAGACGACCCAGGTTCGATTCCCAGCATTGTACCCCCAGGAGTAATTCCTGAGTGCGGAGCCAGGAAGAACTCCTGTGCATCACTGGGTGTGACTCAAAAAACAAAATATGTCCTCCCATTGTTCATCAATTTGCTCGTGCGGGCCCAGTAACGTCTCCATTGCGAGACTTCTTGTTACTGTGTTTGGCATATTGAATACTCTCGGTAGCTTGCCGGGCTCTCCAAGAGGGGCGGAGGAATCGAACCCGGCTCAGCAGGGCTGGCTGTGCGCAAGACAAACGCCCTACCACTGTGCTATCATAACCATTGCAAAATGTATACAGTTCGATTTACCAATACTTGATACACAGTGAAAAAGTAAGTCATTATTTGAAATCTAATCTGTCTGGAAATGCAGAAATACATAAAGTGAGTTAAAGGTAGAGATGGTCACTGTCATTGTCCTTCCAATGTTCATCGATTTGCTCGAGCGGGCCCAGTAACATCTCCATTGTGAGACTTGTTGTTACTGTGTTTGGCATATTTAATACTCTCGGTAGCTTGCCAGGCCCTCCGAGAGGGGCAGAGGAATCGAACCCGGCTCGGCCGGGCTGGCTGCGCGCAAGGCAAACGCCCTACCGCTGTGCCATCACTCCGTGCGTTGGTGGTATAGTGACTCAAAAAGCAAAGGGAAAAAAAGTCTGTTTCCCGTGGGCTCTGAACACCCCTCCCTCAATCCCTCCCCACGCCAGTCCCTCGAGAAATGCAGAAACGGGGAGCGGAAGCTGGACCCACTCCCAGGCCATCACTTCGTTTTAGGGAAAGTTCTTGATCACCCAGGAAAGGCGCCCACAGAATCAAGGAACTGGCCGAATTTCGGTTCTCTCTGATCGGGTCTCCGACCTCAGCTTTTGAAAGCAGCCCCTTCTAGCGTCTTCACTTCCCCGTTTCCATTTCTCGTTGACGTGAGTGCGATTACATAAACCCCAGCACCCATCGCTCCCGAGAGGGGCGGGGAAATGACCTGCGGGTGCGGGGGACCTCCCGACCATTACGGTCCTGGATGTTCCCTAGCAAGCGGCCACAGGGCAGGGGTGGGTGCGGCCCGCGTGCGCTGCCCCCCAGGGTGATTCCAGGGAAGTGGAGTGCCATCTTCCTCCGTGTCTGTGCGTTTGTGCACGCGAGAGCACGTGTGTGTGTGTGTGTGTGTGGGTGTACGTGAGCCTGAGTTTGCACGTGTATGTGTGTGGACATGTGCAGGAATGGGTGGGGGGCTGTGGGGCTGGAGTGACGGCACCACGGATAGGGCGTTTGCCTTGCACGCAGCCGACCCGGGTTTGATTCCCAGCATCCCATATGGTCCCCTGAGCACCGCCCGGAGTGATTCCTGAGTGCATGAGCCAGGAATAGCCCCTGTGCATCGCCGGGTGTGACCCAAAAAGCAAAATAAATAAATTCAAAAATGACATAGATTGTGTGGCTATGCACGTGTGGTCGTGTATGTGTATGTGTATGTGTATGTGCGCTCACCCCCTCCAGGGTAGGGGAAGTATTGTCTGGACAAGTGACCCTGCTGGCCAGACAGGTTAACACTGGCAGAAGCCCTCCGTCCAGTGGAGGGCACCCCCAGAGAGCCCCACGGTCCAAGACCACCCTCAGGAATTGGGGCCAGTGAGGAGTGGCCTGGGGTCCTGCACGTGCCATCTCCGTGTGGCCTCAGGGGGGGATGTCACTGTTACTCTCCCACTTTAGAGATGGTAAAACTGGGGCTCTGAGCAGTTTAGACGCCTGTCCGGGCCTGGGTGCAAGGCAAGGACAGAGCGGGAGGGTGGGGTCGGGCTGGTGCTGTGGAGAGGAGGCACCCCTGCCCTCTTTCATTCCTGCTTTGGCATTAGAACTAGGAAACCCAGAGGAAAGGACTGCTTTCTGGCATGTTCCTTATACTGTGTCACTCCATGCCGCTTGGGGGGGGGGGGGGGGTCAGCACACGAGGGAGGCAGGGAGATGCTCCCCGCAACGAGGAGGAGGGAGGCTTGGGCGTGCAGTGGGAGGATCCCTGAGGTGTGAGGGAAAGCCACGCTCAGAGGGGGAATTCAGCAGTGGGGCTGCTTCGGAGTGAAGTTTCAGGAGTCACAGCTGCTAACCGGGCCGGAGCCGGGGGTCTGTCACCAGCAGCAGCCCATGGCGTTCCCGGGGCACAGAAGGGGAAACAGAGGCAGGGAGGTCGCGAAGCCACGGCAAAGTCAGGCCTGGCCGCCTGCAGTCTCCAGTGGGGGCCCAGAGGGAGCAGGTGGTGGAGGTGCAGGAGAGGCGGTGTGGGAGGCGGGTCTCGTGGCCCGGCCGGTCAGGACCTGTTGCCCCCCGCCCGGGCAGGGCCGAGGCCTGGACAGTACCCAGCGGGAAAGGAGTTGCTCCCCGGGGCCTGGCCTGGTGGTCTTCGTGGCACAGTTTCACTTGGTGTCATAAGGCCGCCTACTCCCAATTAGCCAGGACCCGTGTGGAACCTTCCAGCAACTGGAATTGTCAGTATTTTATTTGGGGAACCAGAGCCCCTGACGAGATGTGTGGGGAGACTGAGTCGGGCTCATCCACGCCCACTCGGCCCTGGTTACCCCGCTTCTTGGGCCTCTCACATCTTCCCAGTCTTTCCCGGCAAAGAGGACGCCGGCTTCCGGTCACCCCCAAGCAACTCAGTCTGAGGCTGGACGGGGCAGATCCTTTCTGGGAATCCGCAGCCCCAGGCCCAGATCTGCCCGGACACAATCTCTAGCCCCCGGCGGATGGGGAAGGGGAAGAATTGGATGAAGGCGTGGAGAGACGGTCAGGCTATGGCACGGACTCCTCGACCCCTTTCTTCTGGAACGTTCTAGGTTGGCAAGTTGTCTGTGATCCCCTCTAATTCTTTTCGGGTGGGGGGCGCAGGGGAGACCCTGCAGCCAGGGCTGTGCTTCCGGCTTATATGCCGGGCTCTGCACTTGGGGGTCTCCTGGCATTGCGGGGTCGGTGGCACGTAAGGCCAGTGCCTCCGCCCCTGGACAGACGACTCGCGCTGGCCCCGACGTGTCGGATTCTTCGAGGTCAGGGGCCCTCCCCCGGCTGGCTGATCCTGGTTCACCTCTGCACGCGGCCGCGCCGTCCGTTACAGGCGGAATGACCCAACCTTTGCCTTTGGGGAACTGGCCGGGCGCTGGGGCCGCTGGGAGGAGCCAGGTTCCCCTTCACTTCCACTTCGGCGTGACCGAGTCAAAGGACATCCTGAGTCTTGGACCCCGGGACTCCCGCCGGGGGAAAGTACAGGATTCTTCGAAGGGGCTTGGCAGCCGCAGCCGCAGCCACCGGTGACCAGCCCTCTGGCCTCTGCCCAGGCACCCGCTGGCCACCTTCTTCCACCTGTTCTTCCGTGTGAGCGCCATCGTCACCTACGTGGGCTGTGACTGGTTCAGCAGGAGCTTCGTGGGCTGCTTCGTCACCGTGCTGCTGCTCCTCTCCCTCGACTTTTGGTCTGTGAAGGTGAGGCCGGGCTCGGGGCCAGTTTGGGGGGGTGAGGGGCGGGGAGCTGGGCCGTGAGCCTCGTCTCAGTGAGAGGCATTGGAGAGAGGCTGGAGCGATGGCACAGCGGGGAGGGCGTTGGCGCTGCACGTGGCCGGCCCGGGTTCGATTCCCAGCATCCCACGTGGTCCCCCGAGCACCGCCAGGAGTCATTCCTGAGTCCAGAGCCAGGAGGAACCCCTGAACATCACCAAGGGTGACCCAAAAAGAAAAGGGAAAAAAGAGGCACTAGAGAGACACAGACACCACAGCACGGGCTTTGCAGGCTGCACCCTCCCCTCCCGCACATGGCTGACCCTGATTCCATCCCGACACCACAGGGAAAACCCCTGAGCACCACCAGGAGTGCCCCTGGGCACAGGGCCGGGTGTGGCCTCAAAACCAAACCAGCTGGGGCTGAAACACAGGCTAGTGTGAAAAAATGGCCCGAACTGATCTGCCACTTGCATGTCCGGAACCCAGGGGCTGAGAGTTCTGGGGACAGCTGACCTCTGCCCAATACATGGTCTGCGGCTGTGGAAGCTTTGAATGTGGTCCAGGGCTGGAGCGATAGCACAGCGGGGAGGGCGCTTGCCGTGCATGTGGCCGACCCGGGTTCGAATCCCAGCATCCCGTAAGGCCCCCCCAACACCACCAGGAGTAATTCCTGAGTGCAGAGCCAGGAGGAACCCCTGAGCACTGCCGGCTATGACCAAAAAGGACGAAATAAGTAATCAAAAACAAAAAAAAATGAATATGGCCCGTGCATGAGGGTGCGTGCCCGCCCCGGCCTCAGTGAGCCTGGCGAAGGACCATGAGGCTCCAAGCTGACTCTGGGCCCCCAGGTGGGAAGTGGTGGCCGGGGCTCACCAGGACAGGGCTTGGGTCGCTCTCGCCCGTGGACATGCGTGTCCTCCCGCCGTTTCCTAGAACATCACCGGGAGACTCCTGGTGGGGCTTCGCTGGTGGAACCAGATCGATGAAGACGGCAAAAGTCACTGGATCTTCGAAGCCAGGAAGGTACCTTCGTGGCGGGATGCGCGGGGCGGGACGGCGGCTCAGGGGCCACATGGGTTCGGGGGGGGGGTGCTCGGTGCACGTCTGCCCCCGCCCGCGTGGCACGGGACAAGCCCCGGGGGACCCCCGCGTGCCTCTGCAGCTGCTCCCGCGCCCCCACCGCAGGCCTCTCCACACCACGCAGCCCCCACAGAAGCCGAGGCACGCGTGTTCTGGCTCGGCCTCCTCGTCTGCCCGCTCATCTGGGTCGTCTTCCTCTTCAGCACCTTGTTCTCCCTGAGGCTCAAGTGGCTGGTAAGGCCTCACCCCGTCTGAAGGCGTCCCAGGGCCGAGGGCGCAGGCATGGGGTGTGTGTGCGTGTGCGCGTGCACGCGCGTGCTGTTGCAGTGTTCGGACCACAGCCAGCGGTGCTCGGGGCTACTCCTGGCTCTGTGCTCAGGGGTGACTCACTCCTGGCAGTGCTCGGGGATCAAACTGCATCAGCTACTTGCAACACAAGCACCTTAACTCCCATCCTAGTCTCTGGAGAGGACTCACGTGCCCAGTCCGTCTCCAGCGGCCACACCTGGCTTTAGGCCATTTTCCCGCCCGTCAAAGAGCCCCTTAGGGTCACCCACACCCCCCCCCGTGTCAGATTCCCCAGCCCGGTGGGCCCACTTCCTAGGTGGGTGGAATCCCACGCTGGGTGTCTCAACACCTGCTATTGGGGCTCCCCGCATCCCAGGGGGCACCCTGAGGGCTGAGGGACTGGTCCTCTGGGCCATGGCCCCTTCCCGCCACTTCCCCATTCACCCACTGAGCTCTGTCGCCTTTGGCCTCCGGGAATGAGGTCGCCGCGAGAAGCTGCGTGTCTGCTCGGGCTGCAGTGGTGTCACGCCCCACGCACCCACAGGGCCACACTGTGCAGAGGGACCCACGGGGGTCTCTGGCCCATGAGCGTGTGCACAGGCCCCTTGGCCCAGAGATCGTCTTTCACAGAGCACAGGACACGCTCGTTCAGACGGGGAACTCCGTGCGTGCAGGGCGAAGCCGGCCCTGCCTCCTGTGGTTTTCTCTCCCACTGTGGCCCTGATCTGGGTGGTTCTGTGCGAGCAGCCGAGAACCCTTCCAGCTGCAGGAGGCAGAGCTGCAGCTGCAGTAGCCGGACTGGCTCTGGGACTGGGGGTCTGGGTGCAGGGCTCATAGAGGCCCTGCGGCTGCCGCTGAGCTGGGGAGGGGGCTGAGACGCGCCCCCGGGAACACGGCCCCCTGCCCCTCCTGACGCAGGCGCTGGTGATCGCCGGGATCTCCCTGCAGACTGCGAACCTCTACGGCTACGTCCTCTGTAAGCTGGGGGACGACAGCGACGTCAGCCGGGCCACAGCCGCCCTGCTGTCCCCAACGGTGTTCCGCACGGCCACCCCCTAAGCGCCTCCCTGACCTGCAGCCTCTGCATTCGGGCCCTGCACGACTGTGGCTGACCACCCGCCCGGGCATCTTCCATCTCTGTAAACATCTGCAAAATCCTGACCCTCGAACCTGTTCCTTAACCTGTGCCGTGGGTGCCGCGGGGTGCCAGGACCCAACCTGGCCTCTGGTCCTTTGATCCCCATCCAGGGAGCCCCAGGGCCCTGCCTCTGACCCCTTCAGCGGAGTCACCCTTTGTTCTCTGTCCTTGGGCGCCAGTTTTTGTTTTCCTGCCCTGTTTCCTTCTCTGGCTGTGCCAGGAACCAAAGCCAGGACGTGGCATCTGCAGCCCAGTCAGAAGCCCCACAACTGGCCATTGTGTTTGTTTTCCATGATTTTATAAAAGCTCCAGAATGAAGAACCACAGGACCCTTCCAAACCCAACCCGGCAGTGTGCAAAGGCATCTTAAGAGGGACCCGACCCCCCTGCCGCGGTGGCCTCGTCTCTGAGCGGGACCGGGCAGCTTCCCGAATGCCCGAGCAACCAACCTCGCGCAACCTCGCGGCTCTGGGGCCTGTGGGGCCTGCCTGGGCCTTGAGTGGGGAGCACAGGGAGACACTCCCGGGAGTCTTGGCGACCTTTCCCCTCGCGGGCCTGCCCCAGCGACTTCTGGAAGGCTGGACTGGAGGGGCTGGAGGTTCATAAGCCTTAGGTGAGACGCCGGAAGGAGTGGGCAGTGCCGGGGGTCCCCCACACTCACGGGGGTGTGGGAGGGAAGAACAGGGGCTGTGCCCAGCTGCTCTGCCCAGCCCACGGCATCTCAGAGGAAAGGCAGCGCCCCGAGAGCGGACTGCCCCCCGCGGTGCACGGGTGAGAACCAGCTCCCAGGGGTGCGGGCTCCCTCCCTGCCCGGCTGTCTCTGGGCCCCACCCTCAGCTGGAGGCCACTGCTGGGGCACGGGGGGGTGGGCACCCTCAGCCCCCTCTTCTTCCACAGACCCTGAGACCCGTCTCAGACCCTGAGACCTGTCTCTTGCCACCTCTGCAGAGGCCACAGAGGTATCCCCAGCCTGCAGGGGGTTGGCCCGTGGCTGCCAGAGTAGGGCTGGAGGAAGCGTGTTCATCTGGTCACGGCGCCCTGGGGCAGCGCCCACGGGAGACGGTTGAAGCATCTCTGGCCGCCTGTGCCACTGCCGTCGGGCCTGCATTTCAGGACCTGGGGGGGCTCTCTCCGGCTGGCTGTGGAGTTAGGTACTCGCGGATTCCTGGAAGACAGTGCTCCTGAGCTCGGGCAGGGCTGCTCCCGGCACCCGCTGAAAGGCCCGTTTCTGCTGACGCCCGTGTCCCTTAGCATGCCGAGGGGCCCACCGGCCTGTCACTCTTGGCCCTGCTGCCCCCGTAGTGGGCTTTCCCAGTAGAGGTGACAGCTTGGACCATGGGCAGCCCCTGCGGGCAGCCCGGGAGTTTGCTTCACTGCCTGAGGCTGTTTCCCGGAACATTCTCGTTTCTTCTGGAGATCCCTCCCGGCACGGCTTGGCTCGATCCCTCCCAGCGTGGCTTGGCTCCTCGGCCCTGTGGCTGGGCCCAAGGCTTCTCGGTGGGGCGCGTGCCCAGTACCCCACGCTCTCGCTGGCCCTCCTACTTATCCGTGGCCTCACTGAGGCACTTGCTACACGGTACAGCTCACCCTTCTCTGGGTTTCCAGACTGCTGACTTGACCTGTTCTCTGCGCCGAGGTTCCGGCCGAGGTGGTGCCGCCCTCCTCATCCCGGCCCGCTCTGCGCACGCCCCTCTCCACCGTGAGAGCCCCCGATGGCCACGGCTCCCGGATACTTACTCTGAATGATGCTTCTGTAGGCTAATGTGGCCGGGGAGTCGGGGGCCCCCGCCATGAAGGACTGGCCCTTGTCACAGCTCTTCCCTGAGAGACGAGAGGAGAGGACGGGGTGGGTGGGCAGCAGAGGCCGTGGAGTCTGGCTCTGAGGGCCGAGCACTGAACCCGCAGCCCCCCCAGGCCCCTCCTGCCCCCCGTAGCCTCCCCGGCCACAATACCCTTTGTCCAAACTCCCCTGCAGGGTGAGCTCAGCCAAGCTCCTCCCGCGCCCTCCCCATGGCAGTGGGACCCGTGCCCACCTATGTGTGGGTCCAGGGGCACTCTGCCCAGGAAGGGCACCTGCAGGTCCTGGCACATGGGCTCCGCGCCCCCGGTCGTGGGCGGGAATATCTGAGACTCCTTCTGTGAGGCAGATCACAAGGGGAGGTGTGATTCCCGGCAGGATCCGGCGGGGGTGGGGGACGTGGGGGGGCACCCAACAGACACGCCACCCAGGCCGGGCCAGCACACCTTACACTTGGGGCAGACAAAGCCGCTCATGTTCTCCACCACCCCGATGATGGGCAGCTTCACCTTGCGGCAAAAGCTGATCTCTTTGCGGACGTCCTGCAGCGACACCTCCTGGGGTACAGGGAGCCGTGTCTCAGGGGGGCGGGGGCCCCGTCTGCACCACTCCCCAACCCGCCTCAGCCCACACCCCACGAAGCCCCAGACAGGCGGCCACTCGGGACCCAGGGGTGCCCGTCCACACCCCAACGGCCGCAGTCCTGGCCACGGCCCCAGCGGCCCTTACGCCCCAGGGGTGCTGTGCCTCAGGGTGGAGACTGGGACTAGCCGGCCCTCATGGACATCCACCACCCTCTGGTCTTCTGGGGGAGGGGCGGTTGGCTTTTTTTTTTTTACTTTTTGGGCCTCACCCAGCGATGCTCAGGTGTCACTCCTGGCCCTGCACTCAGGAATTACTCCTGATGGTCCTCAGGGGACCCTATGGGGAGCCAGGGACCGAACCTGGGTCAGCTGTGTGCAAGGCAAACACCCTCCCCGCTGTACTCACTCCAGCCCTGGCCTGGCCTTCTGAACGCAGCCTTGCTGGGCAGAGGAGGTGTGGGGCCCGCTGGCATCCTCTTCCTCTCCCTCCGTCCCCACCTCCCACGTTCCGGGTCACTGACGTCACCCAGGCAAGCCACAGGCTGTGGCCACGTGGCTGCGACCCCTGCTCAGCCCAGGCCCCGGGGAGATGCCGAAGCCAGGGCGCCTGGCCTGAAGCCGTCACCCAGGGGTCAAGGCGGGCGAGGGCCCTGGCAGGGAGCCGGAGGCGTCCCTGGCCACTTCCTCTTCCCCACGAGGGCTGCGAGCGTCCCAGGGACGGGCTCAGGCCACTTCCATTTCTGCTCGGTCTGAACAGACTCAGGGGGGCAGATTATGTCACGGTGAAACCGAGGGGAAAGTCCGAGCAGGCCACCCGCCCGCCCGCCACTTCCCCACCGCCTCCCGTCTCCTTGGCACAGACGCCACCACCAACACGCCCCACTTGCCCCTCACCTGCGGTGTGGTGATGACCACTGCCCCGTCGATGTGCGCCGCCGCCAGGTACTGGACGACCGAGAGGTGCTCGTCGGAGGTCCCTGGGGGCGTGTCCACGACGAGGTAGTCAAGGTCCCCCCAGTCCACGTCACGCAGGAACTGCTTGATCATGCCTGGGGGAGGGGACACGGGGCCATGCCCGTTCAGCCCCTGCGCCCGACAGCTCACCGCCACCCCCCAACCCCAGGGCCCCTGGGAACCTGCAGAGGGGTAGCCCGCAGGCCCTGGGCGCCAGGACGTCTGTTCCACCCAGAGCGGGACGCACCGTTCTTCTTCGGGCCCCTCCAGATGACGGCGTCGTCGGGACTGCCGAGGAGGAAGCCCACCGACATCACCCCCAGGTTGTCTTCCAGGAACTGCAGGGGGAGCAGGGGGGCCTCGGTGAACAGCAGCAATCTGGCCCTGCCTGGGGTCCAAGCCCTGCCACGGCAGATGTCTCCTCCTCCCCTCCCGCCCCCCGGCTGGTCGTCCCTCTGCCCCTCCTGCTTCACTGGGACACAGCCCTGGCCCCGAGGGGACACATCTGCCCTCCCCTGTCTGACTCGGCCCCACGAGCCCCGGAGCTGCCCGGGTCCGTATCTGGGGGCTGAACTGTGGTGAGGGTGAGGAGAGGTCGCCCCACCCGCCGTCGAACACGCACACGCCAAGGGAGGGACTCACCACCGGGGACCAGCCCGAGCCGCTCTGGTGCACCTGCAGGACAGAGTGAGGGTCACAGGAGGGTGGAGCCCCTGCCCTGGCCCCCTGGCCCTCCCCGCCTCCCCCGCGCGGCTCAGGCCAGTCTCACCAGCTGCCCCGGGGGTAGAGGCTTCCAGCCACCCCGTGTGTGGGGTCTGAGACATCTTAACCCAGGGCCAGGAGGGGCAGGGGGCGCACAGTGGACACAGCCGCCCAGCCGGTGGCCGAGGGTCAGCTCCGGCCCCTGACCCTGAGCGCTGGGCGCTACTCTGAAACTCACTCTCTCCAGACGCTGCCATGGGGGTCGCCAACCGGAGCCCCTCCCGCCCCCGCCCAGAGAAACGGGGGGAGCCCTGGGCCCCACGTCCCCCATGCCTGGCAGCCGTGGTTCCTCGGCAGCGGCCACTGGCCAGGAACATTCCCTGGCCCCCAGCCCCCCGCCAGAGTGCAGCCCGGGGCTCAGGCTTCTGCTTCCCGACCTGCTTCCCCTCCTGCTCGAGCAGCTCAGAACCGACAGAAGCGACAGGTCTCTGGCCGCAGGGTCAGTCTCCGCGGCTCAGAGCACATGCCCGGCCGGGCCGCCCTCACCTGCTCGCCTTCCAGGCCCATGATGCGGGGGATGGACGGGCCACAGATGTCGACGTCGAGAAGGGCCACCTGGGGAGGGAGGGGACAGTGAGAGTGGGGGGATGCTCTGATGTGACAGCTCAGAGATGCAGCACTGGGGAGAGGGGCGAGTGGCCGAGAGGGCAGGGCAGGGCTGGGTCGGGCCAGCAGCTAATGCCCGTGCTATCGAGATGATCTGCCCCTGCCCCCCACCCCCGCCCCCTACACTGCAGGGGTCTGTCGAGCCTGTCTGGGTGCAGGTTCAGGCTCCCGGGTCAGCCTCGGGACCACCAGGCCCTCGCTGCGCCGCACCCTGGGGCCCTCACACTGAACCACCAGCCTGGTCAGTGAGGAGTGATCCCAGGTCCTCTGGGAGCGCTGCACCACCCAACCCCCCCCCCCAAAAAAAAATCTGGGTCAGACGGGACCTGGCGGGACCTCAGGCTTGTGGCCGAGCTCGGGTCCACCCGAGAGACATGAGCTGTGTGCTGGCCCTGGTCAGGCTCCTTCCTTTGGCCGGGGCAGGTTGTTCCTCTGCTGGTTGGAAGGGAGGGGACGGGGCGACCCCCCTATAGTCTCCAAACCCCACCACCAGGTACCCTCTTCCTGCAGCCCCAAAGTTCACGGGTGCTGAGGCTCAACTTCCAAGAAAGAAACGGAAACCGAGGACACTAGGAAAACTGTTCACGTGCCCAAGTGGCCCCAGGCCCCTCCCTCGGACCCTGCGGGAGCTCTCTGAGGACCAGCCGCACCCCTGTGCTCCCAACACCCTAGAGCACTCGGGAACCAACCCCACGGGCTTCCCACTCGGCCCTCCCTGGCCTCCTGGGCCACTGCCTGCAGCTGGAGCACGCAGGGAGCACCCAGCCAGCTGCTCGGGCCTGGAAAGCGCAGGGAGCACTGACCCCAGCCAGCGCCTCTCCAATCTCGGGCAGGCTTGCACCCACCCCGATGCCCCCAGCCCGGGCCTGGTTGCACTTCCCAGGGCCTCTCATTGGTGGACAACTTGATTCCCTTTTTTTTTTTTTCACCAGTTAAGGTTTTGGATCACGTCCAGCGATAAGCAAGAGTTTCCCTGGCTCTGCACTCAGAAATCACTCCAGGGGACCATAGGGGATGCTGGGGATCGAACCCCAGGTCAGCCACGTGCAAGGCAAGACCCTCCCCTCTGCATTCTTTTTCCCGCCCCAGATCCGTGTTTCTGAGGCCCTGCACAGCCCATGCTACGAGGGGGACGCCTGGTGTGAACGCTGGGGAAACAGGCTGGGGGGGACACTCCGTGGCAGCCGGGGATCCATCCCTCAGGCTTCCTGACCCCCGGCCCTGCTCCCAGGCCCCTCCCAGTTGTTCCTTCCCCGTATGCATCTGGCCAGAGCCTTCGCATCTGGACTCTCTCTGGCCCCTTGGGCCGAAGAGACAGGAGAGCAGGGAGGGCACTTGCCTGGCACACGGCCAACCTGGGTTGGACCCCCAGTGCCCCGTAGGGTCCCCTGAAGCCACCAGGAGTGATCTTTGAGCACAGAGCCAGGAGTCAGCCCTGAGCATCACCAGATGGTGGCCCCAAAACAGAAAAAAGGACTGGAGAGCTTATGCCCAGTACAACGCTTCAAATAAGACTGTCCTAAAAGCAGCGACCTGGCAATCAGATTCCAATACGTAAGAATATCAGTAAGATGGTGCAAACCTGACATTTACACAATACTCCGTGTTGCATTCAACTGAAAAAAAAAAAATGAAGATGTTTACTTTTTTAAAAAAATTAAATGGAGGGGCCGGAGTGATAGCATAGTGGGTAGGGCGTTTGACTTGCACGCGGCCAACCCGGGTTCGATTCCCAGCATCCCATAGGGTCCCCTGAGCACCACCAGGAGTAATTCCTGAGTGCAGAGCCGGGAGGAACCCCTGAGCATCGCTGGGTGTGACCCAAAAAGAAAAAAAAAATCAAATGTATGACTGTAATACTTGAATAATGGTAAGATTTCTGTGGACCCACTCTGTGTGTGTGTGTGTGTGTGTGTGTGTGTGTGTGTACTGAGAACATGTCAAGAATGTAGGCTTGATCCTCGCCACTCACCGCAACTGTCCGTTTTTTCACGGAGGAAATAAAACCTTCATCATGTAAGAAGCAGAGTGCGTGGGCTGGGAGGAAGGGCGTGAGCTAAGGCGTCCGCCTTGCACACACCTGACTCAGACAGGATTCCTGGCTCCACATACGTTCCCAATCTGAGCCCTGCCAGGAGTGATCCCCGAGCACAGAGCCAGGAGGAAGCCCCAAGCAAGGTTCTGTGTGCACCCCCCAACCCTGCCCCGTGCCCCAGGGGTGGGAGCTAGCTGCAGGCTGTCAGGGGGTGCAGACCTGAGGCCTAGCGAAAGTCCCAAGGGGGTTAACGAGGAGAGGAGTGGAGGCTGGCGGGGCCGATGGCAGCACGCGAGGGAGGCTGCGCAGGCCCCCAGTCCCAAGGGCGAGACCGGAAACACAGCCCCTGCAGGGACAGGGTCCCCGAGGCCTCGCCCAACTCAGCCCAAAGGACAGCCACACAGCCAGACCGCAGCCACTCCCCCACTGTCGTCCGGGGCCCCACCTGCGTGTTCTCGTCCTCCGCCAGGCCGTGGGCCAGGTGGGCGCTGAAGGTGCTTTTGCCCACACCGCCCTTGCCAGACAGCACCAAGATCTTGTGCTTCACCGTCTTCATTTTCTCTTTGATTTCCTCTATGGCTGCGGAGAAAACAGGGCCGATGAGAGTGTCCCTGGGGCCAAGCCCCGCCCCACTGACCCCACCACATCTTACGGCCGCACGCCCGGGAGGAGCAAGGTCCTGGGAGATGTTCCAGGGGCTCCTGCGTGACCACGGCCACCACTGTGACCTTCTCAGTGGCGGGGCCATCTCTCTTCCCACCAGGCTGGGGCTCTAGTGGTCTTGGCAGCAATGCAGCTCGAAGGCAGTGCGTGGCATCGAGGAAGGGATCCCCGCCGACAGGGTTGGGGGGTGCACACAGAACCCTGGACCCATACTTGGCAAAGTATGGGGACCTGTCGGCTGCCACCGGAAGGGGCACAAAGGCATGGCAGTGGGCCGTCCCCATGGCTAAGAGGCACCCGGGCCCAACTGTCCACAGAGCTGAGATGGGCAGAGAGCCGCAAACATCTACTACAAATCGCAGCCCCTTCCAAGTGCATCTTCTTTCAAACCCCTGAAACGAACCGTGAGGGGTCAGGTTCATTTCTGCCACACCCGGCAGTACTCAGGACTTACTCCTGGCTCTGCTCAGAGGTGACACGTGGAAGGGCTTGGGGGACCATATGTGGTGCCCAGATTCGGGGGACGAGGGTGGGATGAAACAAAAGCTGGGCCAGCTGCAGGCTACGTAACTGCCTTAGCCCGGCTCTCTCTCCAGCCCCTGCCCCATTCTGGGAGAGAACAGAAGGCCACAGAGGGTAAAACTCACGCTCGCGGTCACACTGGAGTGGACTCTGGAATCAAGCCCTGGTCTCTTGAACTTCGAAATTATTCTCCCAGGGCCCATGGGATAGTTCCATGCCTGCCTGGCATGCACAAGGCTGGGCTCGATCCCAGCAGCCTTCGTGCCCGGGCACCTCTGGGAGTGACCCCTGAGCAGTTAGTGACCACCATGCACTGCCAGGCCCAGCCCCCAAACTAACAAATAAGCTCTTGCCCAGTCTTTAGTGCTTTAAAAAAAAAAAAAACACTCTTTTTCCTGGTTGCTATTATTGCATGGGCCACAATGGGAATTCTGTGCATGGTGAAGTCTGGTGAAGTCTGGGGTGCCAGGGTTTGAACCATGACCCTGACCCACATTCCAGCCCCCTCTCCTGTTTTTTTTTTTCTTTTTTCATTTTGGGTCACACCCAGCAATGCACAAGGGGTTCCTCCTGGCTCTGCACTCAGGAATTACTCCTGGCAGTGCTCAGGGGACCATATGGGATGCTGGAAATTGAACCCGGGTTGGCCGTGTGCAAGGAAAACGCCCTACCCACTGTGCTATGGCTCCAGCCCATTTCTTTCTTTCTTTCTTTCTTTCTTTTTTTCTTCTATTTTCTGATATTGTCTGTTTCTGGGCCAGCTCGGGGGTCAGACACAATGCCAGGCTGGGAACCAGGGTCGGCTGTGTGCAAGGCAAGTGCCCGATATACCCCTATATCCTCTCGCTCATTCCTCCAAGTCATTCCCCGTGCTCTCCCCGGGCACGGGTCCTGTGGGTGCCCCTGCTGGCCCGCCTGCCACCAGTCCCAGGGCAGGGCGATGGGAACTGACTGCTGCCACCTGAGGACAGCTGTGTTCAAAGAAGGTGGCAGGGGGCTGGAGTGATAGCACAGCAGGGAGGGCGTTTGCCTTGCACGCGGCTGACCTGGGTTCGATTCTTGGTATCCCATAGGGTCCCCCGAGCACCGCCAGGAGTGATTCCTGAGTGCAGAGCCAAGAGTAACCCCTATGCATTGCCGGGTGTGTCCCAAAAAGCAAAAAATAAAAATAAAATAAAATAAAAAATAAAAATGAGTCATGGGGCTGGAGCAATAGCACAGCGGGTAGGGCGTTTGCCTTGCACGCGGCCGACCCGGGTTCGAGTCCCAGCATCCCAGAGGGTCCCCTGAGCACCGCCAGGAGTCATTCCCGAGTGCATGAGCCAGGAGCGACCCCTGTGCATCGCCGGGTGGGACCCAAAAAGCAAAACAAAACAAAACAAAGAAGGTGGTAGCGTCCGGGTCCCCTCAGTGGCGACTCCTCCCCCGGTGGCCTCCCTGCAGCAGGATGCGGGCCAGGGGCCTCGCACCCGGGCCGCCCAGCATCACTCCAGCCGGCCCGGGAGACTCCACCCGCCCCCGTTTCGGCCCTGGCCCTGTCATTCACACAGGCCCCGCCCCATTCCGCGGCAGGCCCCGCCCCATTCCGCGGAAGGCCTCGCCCCATCCCGCGGCAGTCCCCGCCCCATCCGCGGCAGGCCCCGCCCCATTCCGCGGCAGTCCCCGCCCCATTCCGCGGCAGGCCCGCCCCATTCCGCGGCAGGCCCGCCCCATTCCGCGGCAGTCCCCGCCCCATTCCGCGGCAGTCCCCGCCCCATTCCGCGGCAGTCCCCGCCCCATTCCGCGGCAGTCCCCGCCCCATTCCGCGGCGGTCCCCGCCCCATTCCGCGGCAGGCCTCGCCCCATTCCGCGGCAGTCCCCGCCCCATTCCGCGGCAGTCCCCGCCCCATTCCGCGGCAGTCCCCGCCCCATTCCGCGGCAGGCCCCGCCCCTTCCGCCCCCCGCGCCTTCCACTTCCGCGAGGCCTCACCTGGGTCCGGCGCGGCGCCGGCTCCCGAGGCGCAGAGCCCCTGGTTGGGGCACCCCTGGCAGGAGGCTCCTCGGCCCGCCTGGGCGCTGCCGGCCCCGGGACAGTCTGCGCGGGGACGAGGACACAGTTAGAGCCGCCCCCGGGCTCCGGGCCCCGCCCCCGCGCCCCCCGGCCGCACGCTCACCCCGCGGCACCTCCTCCATCCCGCCGCCGAGGCCGCCGACGCGGGCAGCCGGAAGCCGCCGTGACGCACTTCCGCCCCGCGGCGCCAGATCTGGCCGCGCCCGCGCGAAATAAGTCTCGGCGGCCGCGCGCGCGCTGCGCATGCGCGAGCCTGATGCCCGCGGGATGCTGAGGCCGGGGGGGGGGGGGGGGGGGGGGGGGGGGGGGGGGGAGAGCTTGGAGCTCTCAGCGTTGCAGCGCGGCTCCCGGGTCCCCGTTTCCGCACCCAAGACGTTCACTGCGGATGCAAGATGCACGAGATGCGCTCTGGGTTCAGGTTCACTCAGCCGCTCGAGATAGGGCTGCAGTCCTGGACCCCCTAAGAGTCAAGCCTTGGGGCTGGGGAGAGAGCACAGCGGGAGGGCGTTTGCCTTGCACGCGGCCGACCCGGGTTCGATTCCCAGCGTCCCATAGGGTCCCCTGAGCACCGCCAGGAGTGATTTCTGAGTGCATGAGCCAGGAGTCACCCCTGTGCATTGCCGGGTGTGACCCAAAAAGCAAAAAAAAAATTAAATAAATAAAATTTAAAAAGATAAAAAAAAGTGGGGCTGGAGAGAGAGCACAGCGGGGAGGGCGTTTGCCTTGCACGCGGCCGACCCGGGTTCGATTCCCAGCGTCCCATAGGGTCCCCTGAGCACCGCCAGGGGTGATTTCTGAGTGCATGAGCCGGGAGTCACCCCTGTGCATTGCCGGGTGTGACCCAAAAAGCAAAAAAAAAATAAATAAATCAAATAAATAAAATTTAAAAAGATAAAAAAATGAAAAATAAATAAAAAGTGGGGCTGGAGAGATAGCACAGCAGGGAGGGCGTTTGCCTTGCACGCAGCCGACCCGGGTTCGATTCCCAGCATCCCATAGGGTCCCCTGAGCACCGCCAGGAGTGATTTCTGAGTGCATGAGCCAGGAGTCACCCCTGAGCATCGCCGGGTGTGACCCAAAAAGCAAAAAAAAAGAGTCAAGCCTTGCCTTCCTCCGTTCCTTCTCTTTGTTCTCCCTCCACTCAGAACAGCCCTCCTCTCCCCCTCATCCCTTCTCTAGATTTCTTTTTTCTGCCCTACTGCCAAAAATTATCTTCTGACATCTCTTGATGTCAATTCCACACGTAGAGCAAACGTGGGCCGCTCAGGGCCAAAAAGCCCCCCACCCTTTGTTTTATTGCCCCTCCTAAGTTCTTCAGGCCGATTGGCTTGTTTTTTTTTTTTCTTCTTGGGTCACACCTGGCGATGCACAGGGGTTACTCCTGGCTCTGCACTCAGGAATCACACCTGGCAGGGCTCAGAGGACCCTATGGGATGCTGGGAATCGAACTCAGGTTGGCCGCGTGCAAGGCAAATGCCCTCCCCGCTGTGCTATTGCTCCAGCCCTTGTATCATATTTTTAAATCTTTTTTTGTGGGGTATGGGCCACACCTGGTGGTGCTCAGGGCTCACTCCTTCCTGACGGGGCTCCGGAGGCCCGAGGGGCTGCCACAGATCCAGACTGGGTCAGCCGCGTGCAAAGCAAGCGCCCTCCCCACTGTACCATGGTTCAGGACCCAACCTTTTCTGACATGTGATTTCCCCCCACCCCGTGACCGATCCTAGATTCAAGTTAAACTGTTAGCAACACACCATCGAGGAAAAATGCATTGCAATTTTACCTCCTGTTTGGACTACCGACCTATTCCATAGCCGCGGATCTGTGGCTGGAGTGCTCGGTCAGAGGGTAAGGTCCAAATCACACCTTCGGACCTGAGCGATAGTCTGGTGGGGGAGGCTCTTGCCTTGCGTGCAGTTGACCCGGACTCAAGTCGGTGTCTCACATGGTTTCCCTGAGCCTGCCAGGCTTGATCCCTGAGTGCAGAGCCCTGAGCACGGCTGTGTGTGGCCCCAAAGAACACCTCCTTTCCTGTGAACTTGATTGCTGGGGGTAGTGTGAGCATCCTGGTCCCCGGCAACCTTTCGCTGGCTTGGTGGGTTAAGGATCTCGTTTCACACGGTCTACGCGGGTTCAATTCCCACCATCCCATGGGGTTCTCTGAGCACCACCAGAAGTAATTCCTGAGTGCAGGAGTAACCCCCAAGCATCGCCAGGTGTGACCCAAAAAGAAAAAAAAAGATCTTGTGTTTCCCTGAATGAGCTGTCCTATTGGCCAGCTCTGGTCCATTTCCCTCCCGAGAATCAGCCCTTCCACAAGCCTCGTGTCTATAGGCTCCCCCTCTCACGGGGGCTTAGAAAACAGAAACAGGACAAGCGGGACAGTGGGAGGACAAGCTGGAGCTGTCCAGCTCGTGTCCACACTCACCCACGGCACACAGCGCTCTGGCTACTACTGGTTGCAAGTGGAGCCGGACACTCGTGGGCGCAGGACGGGCCCCCCCGTTCCTGGTGGGACTTCCCCACATACACAGACATACCCACATACATCAGACGCTGTCCCTCGGGACTGCTGCTGCCCCGGACACAGCTCACCCTTCCACGGATGTCGCCCAGGCGGGTAGGTAGCCAGGAGCAGAGTCACGCCTCCACCGCCGATGTCCTGATGATACAGGGAAAATCAAGGGACCAGGGGACACAAGCAGGGTCAGCTTAGGGAAAGAAATGGCCCTGAGGATGAATGATTGTGAGCAGGCAGGACCTGAGAGCCAAAAAGAAGAAATAAAACGCTGACCCACAGCCGCCTTTCCATCCTGTCTGCCTGGCAGAGTTTGCAGTTTCCGCAGCAACTTGTGAACCAGCTGCAGGGGGGGCCAGGGGACTCAGGGTGCAGGCATCACCCTCCCATGTGGGGAGGAGAGCGGGAGGTCCCAGGAAGAGTTACAACACCCCCTTCCAGGACCTCACTGCACCTGCCGGGGCGCCGGCATTTCCTGCCTTCTGCCTGTAGGTGGCACTCTTCCCCAACTTATGAGCGAGGAGGAACCTAAGCTCTGTAGCAGAAAATCCTCCCTTTCCCAAAAATAGTTTTTTGGAGGGCAGGCACACCTCTCTGTGCTCAGGACTACTCCTAGCTCTGTGCCCAAGGGCCGCTCCTGGTGGTGCTGAGGGATCGTTTGCAGTGCCAGGGATACAAGGCAAACTCCTGCCCCCACACAGTACTTTCTCCATCCCCCTCTTCTTTATAATCGAAGTAGATTTCAGGTATACGAAAAAAATGATCTGGCATTTTCGCACTGTGATACAAAGGTTTATTTTTCAGGACCAGAGCAACAGCACAGCGGGGAGGGCATTTGCCGTGTACACGGCCGGCGAGGGTTCGACCCCTGCCATCCCATATGGTCCCCAAGCACCGCCAGGAGTAATTCCCGAGAGCAGAGCCAGGAGTAACCCCTGAGCATCACCAGGTGTGAACTCAAAGCCAATACCCCCCCCCCAAAAAAAAACAAAACCCAAAGTTTATATTTTACCTGTCAGCATACAGCCCACATTATTAAGCGTTAGGCACGTCCAGGGCCATTCCTGGTGTTTTTTTTTTTTTTCTAACTGGCTGGTGGGGTTCAGTGCCAGGGTCAGGCTGTGCAGTGCTGGGGAGTTCCCAGATCACCCCAGTAGGGCTTGGGGGCCACCTGGTGACATTATGGGTGCTGGGGAAGGCAATGTGCACCCCCTCCCTGGAGCCCCCACCTCCCAGCACTCCTTATACCCCTCCCACAGAGAATTCAGAAAGAGAAGTTTCCCATTCATGAGTTTTATTTTTGCTTATTTTGGGGTTGATTTTGGGGTCACAACCAATGGTTCTGAGGGCTTATTCCTGGTTCTGTATTTGGGGGTCACTCTGGTGGTGCTTAGAAGACCATATATAGTACCGGAGACCAAGTTGATGCAAGACAAGTGCCCTAACCACTGTATTCTCTCTCTCTCTCTCTCTCTCTCTCTCTCTCTCTCTCTCTGCTGCTTCATTAGCATGTTTTAAGAGATGGAAAATAAGAATCTTTTACTAGTCGGAGGGTGTCTCTGCCATGAAGGGGCCAGGATATTTGATGGCCTCAAGAGATCATTTTGAACTCTCTTCTTTAACCTTCCCGCAAAATTTCTGAGGATGCTGCTGCTCCCGGCAAGCTTTGTCGTTCTGGTCCACTAGACCGACACGAAGATCCTAGTTCAAGTTTAGAAGCCAGGTGAGGTTAAAGATTACTTGTATTAAACCAAATGCCCACTTTCCAAACTAAACGTCACACCTCGCCAATCACATGCCACCACGCCGGCTGTTTTGTAGTCTAGACACCAATAAAAACATCCCATGGAAACAGGAAATAGCCAGGGGTGGCAGTAACCCCCCCAAAAGCGGCACCACTGAACCCCAACCGTTGATCCAACATGCTGGGGGTCTCCGGAACGAATGCCTGGCCTTAAGAATAAGTGACCCAGGGGCTGGAGAGCTAACACAGCAGGTGGGGCGTTTGCTTTTGCGTGCAGCCGACCCGGGTTCGATTCCCAGCATCCACATGGTCCCCTGAGCACCGCCCGGGGTAATTCCTGAGTGCAGAGCCAAGTGTAACCCCTGTGCAATGCCGGGTGTGACCCAAAAAGAGAAAAAAAAAAGAATGTGACCCAGAGCGGCCATTGGAGACTCAGAAGACCTGCGGGAACCCCAGCAGGGCTGCCAGGGTCTGCTTGGGAGGCTGGAAGCCACCGTCCACCGTCCACATAAGTACATGTGAGGCCTTGTGTGCGCAGCTCACTGTAGTGGCTCTCCATGACAGCTGGGAAAGGGACAGACCCCGCACGAATGGAGAAATAAAATGTTCTCCTCTGGGCTGGAGAGATAGCACAGTGGGTAGAGCGTTTGCCTTGCACTCGGCCAACCCGGGTTCGATTCCCAGCATCCCATATGGTCCCCTGAGCACCGCCAGGAGTAACTCCTGAGTGTAGAGCCAGGAGGAACCCCTGAGCATCGCCGGGTGTGGCCCAAAAAGCAAAAAAAAAAATGTTCTCTCCTTATGATGGAACATTCCTTTTTTAGAACATAAGAGCCTTCTGGGGCCACCGGTGGGAAGGCGTGCAAGCTTCGCACGTGGTCCCATGGGGTCCCCCCAGCACTGCCAGGACTGAGTCCTGAACCCAGGAGGAAGTCCTAAGCGCTGCCAGGTGTAACCCCAAATCCAAGGGGAAGAAAAGAGAAAGTCAGATTCCCTGTGTGTGTGCATGTGTGCATGTGTGCCTGAACTTGTGTTTGTGTGTTGTGTGTGTTGTGTGCGTGCGTGTGTGTTGTGTGCGTGCGTGAGTGTGTGCTGTGCGTGCGTGTGTGTACAAGTGCACGTGTGTGCGTGCGTGAGAGTGTCCCTGCGCGAGCGCGTGTGTGCCTGTATGTGCGTGTGTGTGTCTTCACATGCGTGTATGTGTGTGTGTGTGCGTATGTGTCCGCATGTGTGCGTGTCTGTGTGTCCGCGTGTCTGTGTGTCCCTTGGCCAACTCAGCCCCAGGCAGCCCGGATGGGAGCGATCCCCTGGCCCTGGTCTGGGCTTTGTGACAACAGTGCCGAGTCACAGAGGTCCCCGAGGGAGGCCCCAGCTCCGGGCAGCTTCTTGTCCTTGCTGGGCCGGTGGGAAGTGATGGAGTTCCTTGGCACCACCCAGACGGCCAGCTACTGCAGGCCCAGGAAGTTCTGCGGCCTCAGCGCACTGGCCCCCGTGGCCGCCTGGCCCCCGCCGCAGGTGGGCACGCCACCCCTGGTGACCCAGGAGTGCTACCAGCCCTTCTCCCTGCCCGGGTGCCGTGACCCCAACTCCTGGAGGCCCCGCGTCCTGTACCGGGTCTTGGGCGCCCAGGGCTGCCCCGAGGAGTGCGGCGGGGGCCAGCCGATGCCTGTCAGCCTGCCCATGCTCCGCTCCACGCTCTTCGGCCGCTCGGACGCCAGGGACTGGGAGCAGTCCAGCCAGCTGCAGCTGCGAGCCAACGACGCCTCGCGCCTCTGGGCCGGCCGCATGGTGGGCGACACCGGGCGGCTCATGCAGGACAAGGACCAGCTGACGCGCCAGACGCAGGAGGGCACCACCCGGAACCTGGGCCAGAGGCTCACAGACATCGGCTTCTGGAAGGCCGAGCTCAGCCACGAGCTCGAGCGGCTTCTCAACGAGAACCAGAGCATGGACAGCACCCGGCGGCGGCTGGAGAACGCGGCGCAGGAGCTGAACTGCCCGCTGCAGGTGTGTGTGGGGGGGGGCGCGGGTGGGAGGGGCCTCACGCCCACCCCTGCCCACCAGGAGGCGCGGGCAAGGGGAGGGCACCCTGCAGGTGGAGGGGACCCTGCATCATCCTCGATCTAGGGAAGAAAAAGACCCAAACAGCGACAAAGTATGACCTGGGGCTGGAGGGGGGCAGGGGCAGGGGCCAGGAGCACTGGCTTTGCACGTGAAAGGAAGGGCCAGGAGTGACCAAGTTCCATCCTTGGCCTCCCGTCGGGTCCCGAGCCAACCCGGCCATCCCGAGTGCAGGGCTCAGGTGCCCCGAGCATCGCCAGGTCTGGCCCCCAAATCAAAGCCCCCAAGTCCCAAATGAGAAATGAAATAGTGGAACGAGCTATAATGTGTTGGGTACGATTCTAGGGAAAATGGGGCATGTGGAGAGACAGTACGGGGGGGAAGGTACTGGCCTGGCCCCAGACCCCAGTTCAGCCTGGTCCCCTGAGCACCAAGGATGAGTGTGTGGGTGTGTTGACCGCCTGGAGCCGCTGAGCTGTGGGAGGGGGTCCCTGTCTCCGGGACCACTGGGCCTGTGTTTCTGCATTTGTAAGGGACACTGGACGGTCCAGGGTGGCTTTCCTAGTCCCAACAGGAATTCTAGAGGGACAAGGACACGGCAGCCACCTCCGGCTGGCGCCCAGGGATTCCGGCTCTTGGCGGGGGCAAAAGCAAGGCGAGGGGGAGGGAAGTTCAGTGGCCTGCTGGGCCTGAGGGGCGGGCAGGGCTGCGGTTGCCACTGGGCTGCCCGAGGCTGCGGGTGCACAGGACCTGCCTCGTGCCTGGCGTGGCGATGGGGCCACACGAGACTCTTGTGCTGCTGTGCTGGGGATCGAACCCAGGGCCGCACACCTGCCCTGCCCTACATCCTGGCCACCCCCCCAGGGGACACAGCCCGACTGCTTCTTGCTGGAGCCCTGGGGGCCCAGAGCCTGCAGCTGGACACGGCCTGACTCGGGCACCTCCGTCTCCAGATGGAGCAGCAGCAGGGAGGTGTCTAGAACTTTCCTCCTGAGCCTCCCCCGTCCCCCAGTGTGTCTGCAACACTCATGCCGCCATCTCCCACGGCCTCTGGGACCACCTCCCAGTGCCACGGATGGTGCCACCAGCCTGCCGTGCCCCCTGTCCCGTCTCCCCTCACCACACGCTGCGTCTCACTGAGACCACGGGCTGTTTCCTCCCTCCCATCCTCCTCAGCCCGGTCCCCTCTGAGCCATTTTCCAAAACGCAGTCAGAGGGGAAAGTTTTAAATACGGCGCCAGATGCCCCCCACCCCCATTGCCCTGCCCCGAATATACCACCCGCACACCCGCTGTGGCTTCCTAATGATCCGAGTCAGCACCTATATCCCTGGTCACGGCCTCCATTCCATCCCACACCATCCACCCTCCGGCCCTCTCCCTACCCCAGTCCCAATGGCTCCCTGGCTGCTGCTCCTGACCACAGGGCCTTTGCACACACTCTGCCGTTTCCCAGAGCCATCGTTTCACTTCTCTGGTAGCTGGGCATAACTCACGACCCTGTCACCTCCTGAGAGAAGTGCTGGCTAGTGCCCTGCAGCCCCCCCCAAGTGCTTCCCGTCAAAGTCAGAAATGGGGGCTTTGCTTTCTCCCCTCCTCATCAGTACCCCCTGGCCTCCCTTGACCTCAGAAGGGGCCCCCGCCATGCTTGGGAAGAGCCTCAGTTCCCCGAGACATCTTCGTCCCAACCCCGAGACCCAAGGGCCCTGCTTCCAGTGGCTCCCGGGGCTCATTGTGACCTCGAAGGCCAGCGACCCAATCACCAATCACCATCGTCCCTGAGTCTCTAGCCGCAAAAGGACACCCCCTCTCCTGTCATTCTGCTCACGTCCTCCAAATAGTGGAAGGTTCCAGGCTTGGGCCTCCCTTGCCTCTGATCACTTCCCAAGACATAACTGCACGCACAGGGCACCCATTTAAAGATGCCCCCATGGGGGATTTCAGGCCAATCATTTGCTGACTCTGTTCCAAGTGCTCTCCGATGAGCTCAGAGGCTTCACCCCCACCCCCACCCTGCCCCCAGCAACCCTGGCAGGGGTGCCAGTGCCACACCCCTAGAAGAGGAAACCGTGGGTCGGGCTGGTCCGCATGTCGGGGCGCTCACGGCAGTGGGCAGGAGGTGGGGTCTGACTCCGGGTGGCCGTGTACCTGCAGTCACACCCATGGCGTCCCACCAGCCCAACATCGACTCAGCTGGAGGCGCCATCCTGGGCGGAGCAAGCCGCCGAGCTCCCACCGCCTCCCGTGTGAGCCGCGAGTTCGGTGATCTCAGAACCCAGGGGTCTCTGGTCAGGTCCACCAAGAAGTCGTTAGCCGCAGCAAACATGCAGGACGGGGCCGTGATTCGCCTGGGCGGGTGGCCAGGTGGGGGGCGCTCGGGACTCAGAGCAAACTGCACAGCTGAATCGACACAGGGCACAGGGCAGGGGGCTCCCCCCACCAAAGGAGCTGCGGGGTAGGAATTTCTACACACGGTGAACGCCGAGGGAGCCAGAGTGATGGGAGTGCGACCAGAAGGCGTTTGCCTTGCGCGTTCCCAGTCTGGATCCCTGGCACCCCTCCCCTGAGCATGGCAGGGACTCATTCCTGAGTGCAGAGCCAGGAGTAAGCCCTGAGCACTGTCAGATGTGGCCCCCAAATGAATGAAAATGAGCTTGGGCCTTCTCCTAAACAGACGGCTGAGGAGAGCTTGTCTTGAAACTGCATCCCCCCCCCCCCCCCCCCGCCCACCCAGTCATACGACATGCAAGTCCTGCGTCTCTAGCACACCGGTCTAGAGGCGACCTCGTCTCCGTAAATGTCTCTGCGTTACCTCTCAACTGGGAAAATTTGCTCGGAATAATAATAAAAAAAATTTGTGGGGCTGGAGCGATAGCACAGCGGGTAGGGCGTTTGCCTTGCACGCAGCCAACATGGCCAACACAGGTTCGATTCCCAGCATCTCATATGGTCCCTCGAGTACCGCCAGGAGTGATTCCTGAGTGCATGAACCAGGAGTAACCCCTGAGCATCGCGGGGTGTGACCCAAAAAGAAAAAAAATTTCCAGGGGCTGGAGAGATAGCACAGCGGGTAGGGCGTTTGCCTTGCACGCGGCTGACCTGGGTTCGATTCCCAGCATCCCACATGGTCCCCTGAGCACTGCCAGGGTTAACTCCTGAGTGCAGAGCCAGGAGGAAGCCCTGTGCATCGCCGGGTGTGACCCAAAAAGCAAAAAAAAAAAAAATTGTGAAGATGAGGTTAGATTATATAATAAAAATAATAGCAAATCGTTTCAAACTGGGGGCTGTTTGCAAAAGGAGGGCAAAGGCTTGCCCCGGAGTGTCTGTCAGTGTAGCCAGCCTCTGAGGGCTTGGGGGCTGCAACTGTTTCTCTCTCTCCAGCCTCACCCACTCCCAACCCGTCACCCCCCTTCCAGATTCCTCCAGGTCCAGGTGGGTTTGCCGCCCCCTGGTGGCAGTTGTCGGTATCATGCACCGGGAACCGTTCTGGGCTGCATGGGGGAGGGGGGCCCGGACGGATCCAGGATGGGACAGGAGGGGGCTCCGTGGACAAGAGCCAGTGCCCTCTGTTTTATTTTATTTTATTTTGCTTTTTGGGTCACATCCAGTGAACTGATGCTCAGGGGTTGCTTCTGGCTCTGCACTCAGGAATTACTCCTGGCGATGCTGGGGGACCCTGTGGGGTGCCGGGAATTGGACCTGGGTCCACCGCTTGCAAAGCAAATGTCCTCCCCGCTGTGCTACCACTCCAGCCTGAGCCAGTGCCCTCTGAACAGAAATGATTGTGGATGGTTCTTATTTGGGTGTGGGGCACACCCAGCTAGGCTCAGGCACTGCTCTGGGCTCTGTGCTCGGGAGTGACCCCTGGCGGTGCTCAGGGGACAAATGTGGGACCAGATTTTGAGGCATGTGCAAGGAGGGGACCTCACCTCCTGAACGTCTCTGCCCTACTTCGTGATAGTGTTTGTAAAGGGGGAGATCCCTATTCCAGCCTCCATGGTCACTCACCAAGAAGGACTCTGAACGCCAAGGCAGCTTCCAGAACATGGCTTCACCCTGCTTTCAACACGGGCCCTGGCCCGCAGCCCCCACTGGGGGAGAGGGGCAGACCCCCGCCCCCAGTGCGGTGATTTGGCCCCCTGCAGTAGCCAGGCGTCCAGGGGACACTGGCGGCTACGGCCTTTTTCTCTACCCCGACAGGTGGCCCTGGAGTGTCTATACCAGAGAGAGAAAAGGATCGAGACGGATCTGGTCCACGACAGTGTGGAGAAGAACCTGATCCGGGTACAGAACCCCGCGGGGCTGCCCAGCGCCCAGGGAAGGGGGCGGTGGGGAGAGGTTCTACGATGCCCATCCAGAAGTCACATCCACCATCCCAGGCAAAGTTGAGACTCAGAAGAGCAGGGGCCGGAGCGATGGCACAGCAAGGAGGGCGTTTGCCTTGCACGCGGCCGACCCGGGCTCGATTCCCAGCATCCCATATGGTCCCCTGAGCACTGCCAGGAGTGATTCCTGAGTGCAGAGCCAGGAGGAACCCCTGAGCATCGCCGGGTGTGACCCAAAAAGCAAAATAAATAAATAATAATAAAGTGAGGAGCAGGAGAAGTGAGAGGTCAGTGTTTGATGTGCAGACTTTACAAAGTCTATATTTAATACACTTTTAATAACTGATCAAACAATAAAAATGAGCAAGAAAATCATTCTAATCAGATTCACAACTTCAGGAAGTGGAATGAAACCCCTGGATCTTAATATTCTCCGCTTCATGAAGATTTAACTACTGATCAAAATGTGGAATTAAAAGGAGGATTGAGGGCTGGAGAGATAGCACAGTGGGTAGGGTGTTTGCCTTGCACGCAGCCGACCCGGGTTCGATTCCCAGCATCCCATATGGTCCCCTGAGCACCGCCAGGAGTGATTCCTGAGTGCGGAGGCAGGAGTAACCCCGGAGCATCGCTGGGTGTGACCTGCCCCCCCCAAAAAAGACTCAGAAGACCATGGGTGGGGGCGGGAGGTGGGAAGGGAAAAGCAGGAAAAGGAAGAAAAAAGGGGCACAGACGCACCGGCCTTCCCAACACGCAGTCAGGTTCACATTTGTCAGGCACCTAGTATGTACCACGTGTGCCTTGTGCCATTTCCTGTCCATGACCTGATTGACCCAAGTAAGCGATTGGGTGGCTGCCTCGCCATCTCAGAGCACACAAAGAGGAGTGGAGGTAGGGCTGGGATCTGGCCTCTCTCCGCCCAGGCTTAGCCATCTAGCCCAGGAACCTCGGGCGGAGACAGAAAACGAACCCCCCATGTGGACACTTCAGTGGACGGGGGCAGAGGGCAGGAATAAGGGGGGCGGATTGTGGGGTGGGGAGGGGGCCCGATCTGAGGTAAGAGGACGTGAGTTCCTAAGGACTTTCTGGGACATTGTTCATTGCAGGAAGTAGATTTGCTTAAATGCTGCCAAGAACAACTGAGAAAACTGGCCCAAAGGATGGATGCCCAGATACGGTAATGTGCCCATGGAGGGGGTCTCAGATTCCAGACGGGTCCCCATGTCCCTACAGGGTTCTTTGGGCCTTGGGGATACGGGTAAGTGCTGGGGGAGGGAGGGGAGACCACTCCCAGAAACAGGAGAGGTTAAAAAAGGACCAACCTGGGGCTGGAGCAATAACACAGCGGGGAGGGCGTTTGCCTTGCACGCGGCCAAACTGGGTTCGATTCCCAGCATCCCATATGGTCCCCTGAGCACCGCCAGGAGTCATTCCTGAGTGCAGAACCTGGAGGAACCCCTGTGCATCACTGGGTATGACCCAAAAAGAAAAAAAAATGGACCAACCCTGGCTCGCAGAGCGTTTGCTAGTTTAAGAGTTTCCGGCATGGGTGGGTGGCACATCTCAGACCGGCACAGCTGACCGAGTCTCGCTGCCCTGTTTTCTTCACTGGTGGCTTTGATTTGCACCCAGGCTCTGGCCAAGGAACAAGCCTTGCGCACGTCCCGTGGCTCCGGGCCTTGAGAGGAACGTCAGGGAGGGCGGTGCCGAGAGCTCCTGCAGGGCCCAGGGTAACGCCTTCTGCCCAGAGTCTTCAAAAGGAAGCAGCTTCCTGGGATTGTGTAACTGGGACCTGGCCAGCCCGGGAGGTCCCTTCCTAATTAAAGGGAGGCCTGGGTTTTATGGGACTTGGAGCCTGCAGCAAAGCCCTTGGTGCCCCATGGTGCCCAGGAAACAGCTGTCCTGCCTGGCCCCTGAGCTGGGCGTCTGCCTTAAGCCTCTGCAGAGCGGCTGTTCCACCTCACTGACTCATAGCAAGAGGCTGACTGACTGCCACCGCTTGCCTGGTGTGTGTGTGTGGGGTCGTGGTGGGTGCAAGAGGGTGTCCTGGACAGACGGGTTTTCTCCCCCTTTTCTTTTTTGTGTTACACTCGGTGATGCTCAGGGGTTACTCTTGGTTCTGCACTCAGGAATTACTCTTGGCGGTGCTCAGGAGACCATATGAATGCTGGGGATCGAACCCAGGTCAGCCGCGTGCAAGGCAAACGCCCTACCCACTGTACTATCTTACTGGGCCCTGAATGGGATGTTTAAGGGGTCAGAGTTTACAGATAGGCTTGGGGTACACGGTACCCTGTCTTCCTGTACCACACACGCACACATGCACACACACACACACACACACACACACATATGGCAGCCCCTCCACTCCGCTGTGTCATCGGTGAAACGAACAGGACTTGGAGACGACAAACACGCAGGGTCGGGTCTGTAGTTCGAAGCTGGGGAGGCCCAGGGAACACTGGGGTGTGGGGATCTGAAGCCATCTGCAGAGCATGGCAGCTGAATCACGAAAGTGGGTGGTTTTCGGGGTTTCCTGAGCCTTGGTCCCAGGAAACTGTTACCCGGCTGGTAACAATTTCACCACCACGACCCCCTCCCAGTCCGCTTTGCTGTCTGCCAAAAACTGGCCGACGGATGCAAAAGCCCAGATTTGGAGCTGGAAGGGAGATGCCGAGACTGGGGTAGGGGTGAGAGTCAGGTGCTTGTGCCACCCCAGGGGATGAAGCAGGAGGCAGGGGAGGCAGAGACACCGTTGTGGAGGGAGAGACAGGAGCAGGATTGCGGGGGAGGGGGGACGGCGCCGGGGAAAGGCCGAGAGAGAAGGGGCCTGCAGGCCTGCTGGGCGGAGAGAATCACGGGTGGACAGCCTGTCCCCCTGCCCCACAAACCACCCCCAGAGAGGCGACTGGACCTTGGCAATGGTCCAATTATCAGGGAAGACTGTTCCAGCAGCCCAGGCGAAACCACTGACCCCAGAGGAACCCACAGCCAGCCGGAGTCCTAGTCACCAGGCAGTGTTCTGTCCTTTTTTTGGGGGGGGGGGGTCACACCCAGTGATGCTCCCTCCGCCCTTCTCGGAGAGTCTGACAAGCTAACGAGAGTATCACGCACGCACAAGCAAAGCCTGGCAAGCTCCCTGTGACGTATTCGTTATGCCAAACACAGTGACAACAAGTCTCCCCATGTTACTGGGCCCACTCGAGCAAATCGATGAACAACGGGAGGACAGTGACAGTGACAGTGACCTGGTGATGCTCAGGGGGTCACTCCTGGCTCTGTATTCAGGAATCACTTCTAGCGGTTCTCAGGGGACCTTCTAGGATGCCGGGAACTGAACCTGGATTGGCCACATGCGAGGCAAACGCCCTCCCCACTGTGCTATCGCTCCGGCGGGCTCTGCCTACCGCTGGCCTGCCCAGGTGTCCAGAAACTCAACTGTTGGTCTGGAGTTTTCTAAACAAGCAAGTGGTCACCTGACGAGGTGTCCAAGCAGGCAGAAAAGAAAAGTCTCTTCTGGCCTGGAGGCTGACACTGTTCCCGGTGCAGGACATCGGGGGAAGCATTGGCTGACCAGTCTCTGTCCTGGACCCAGGAAGAAGGGACAGATGACCCCTCCTTCCCTGGGATGGCTGGGCCGGCTGAGCGGGGACTTTGAGACTCCCCTGGGTTCCCTTCTTTTAATGCTTCTGTCTTTTCCGCGTTTGGGGAAGTCACACACCTGGATGGGGTCCTCAGTTCCCTGTGGCTCTGCCCATTCAGAAGACCCCCAGGGTTCGGGATGCCCTCCCTCCCCACCCGGCACTGCAGTGAGTGGGAGCTGGCCAGCAGAATCTCATGCCCTCTCTCCCCGCCAGCTGCAAACCCTCAGGAGCTCCCAGGCAGGAAAAAGAAGAGGCAAAATGAGATGCACTCACCAAGACCCCAAGACAGAGAGAAACCACGCCAGTGAGAGGGACAGAGACGGGGGACACACAGAAAGGGGGGCAAAAGCCCACTGACAATGTGCACGCTAGCGGGTGTCTGGACTTGAGCTAGCTCAACGGCATTTCCTCTGGCCTCTTCCTCTCTCGATCCTTCTCGGCTCGGACCCTTTTCCAAAGTCCCAGCCTAGGGCTGTCTCTAACATCAACTAAGCTCCTCTGAGCGATCAAGACAACAGAAGCTCAGACTTAGAAGCTTCCAGAGACCAAAGATGCTAGCTGGGATTCTGTTCCTGTGTACTCCGCAGATTATCAACGGGATGACCTTATTAATGCAAGGGTCGCGGGATTTTCTTTAAAGACAATGCGAGTTTCCTTGGAGAATACATTTTGGGCTATTTTGAAAGTGATGTAATATTTTTGGTACTCTGGGAAGACACCAAGAATCATGAAAGTGGTTCTCCAGTGTCTGAAGTTTGGCAGAGGTCTTTAAGTCTTCGGCTTCCTAGCCAATTTTCCGGCCCTGCAGGTAAATCGTGCTGGCTCCAGTCCACGCACCCACCCACTGCACTAGACCCTTAAATTCCTGCACCCGACCCTGACCCTGCCCGGTTGCTGACTCCTCCCAGCCCCTGGCTCCAGCCAATCCCTGACTCTTCCCAGTCCTTGACTCCTCCCAGCCCCTGGCTCCAGCCAATCCCTGACTCTTCCCAGTCCTTGACTCCTCCCAGCCCTGGCTCCAGCCAATCCCCGACCTTACCCTGTTCCTGACTCCTCCCAGCCCCTGGCTCCAGCCAATCCCTGACTCTTCCCAGTCCTTGACTCCTCCCAGCCCCTGGCTCCAGCCAATCCCTGACTCTTCCCAGTCCTTGACTCGCTCCAGCCAATCCCTGACTCTTCCCAGTCCTTGACTCCTCCCAGCCCCTGGCTCCAGCCAATCCCTGACTCTTCCCAGTCCTTGACTCCTCCCAGGCCCTGGCTCCAGCCAATCCCTGACTCTTCCCAGTCCTTGACTCCGCCCAGCCCCTGACTCCAGCCAATCCCCGACCTTACCCTGTTCCTGACTCCTCCCAGCCCCTGGCTCCAGCCAATCCCTGACTCTTCCCAGTCCTTGACTCCTCCCAGCCCCTGGCTCCAGCCAATCCCTGACTCTTCCCAGTCCTTGACTCCTCCAGCCCCTGGCTCCAGCCAATTCCTGACTCTTCCCAGTCCTTGACTCCTCCAGTCCCTGGCTCCAGCCAATCCCTGACTCTTCCCAGTCCTTGACTCCTCCCAGGCCCTGGCTCCAGCCAATCCCTGACTCTTCCCAGTCCTTGACTCCTCCAGTCCCTGGCTCCAGCCAATCCCTGACTCTTCCCAGTCCTTGACTCCTCCAGCCCCTGGCTCCAGCCAATCCCTGACTCTTCCCAGTCCTTGACTCCTCACAGCCCCTGGCTCCAGCCAATCCCTGACTCTTCCCAGCCCCTGGCTCCAGCCAATCCCTGACTCTTCCCAGTCCTTGACTCCTCCCAGTCCCTGGCTCCAGCCAATCCCCGACTCTTCCCAGTCCTTGACTCCTCCCAGTCCCTGGCTCCAGCCAATCCCTGACTCTTCCCAGTCCTTGACTCCTCCCAGTCCCTGGCTCCAGCCAATCCCTGACTCTTCCCAGTCCTTGACTCGCTCCAGCCAATCCCTGACTCTTCCCAGTCCTTGACTCCTCCCAGCCCCTGGCTCCAGCCAATCCCTGACTCTTCCCAGTCCTTGACTCCTCGCAGCCCCTGGCTCCAGCCAATCCCTGACTCTTCCCAGTCCTTGACTCCTCCAGTCCCTGGCTCCAGCCAATCCCCGACCTTACCCTGTTCCTGACTCCTCCCAGCCCCTGGCTCCAGCCAATCCCTGACTCTTCCCAGTCCTTGACTCCTCCCAGCCCCTGGCTCCAGCCAATCCCTGACTCTTCCCAGTCCTTGACTCCTCCCAGCCCCTGGCTCCAGCCAATCCCTGACTCTTCCCAGTCCTTGACTCCTCCCAGCCCCTGGCGCCAGCCAATCCCTGACTCTTCCCAGTCCTTGACTCCTCCAGTCCCTGGCTCCAGCCAATCCCCGACCTTACCCTGTTCCTGACTCCTCCCAGCCCCTGGCTCCAGCCAATCCCTGACTCTTCCCAGTCCTTGACTCCTCCCAGCCCCTGGCTCCAGCCAATCCCTGACTCTTCCCAGTCCTTGACTCCTCCCAGCCCCTGGCGCCAGCCAATCCCTGACTCTTCCCAGTCCTTGACTCCTCCAGTCCCTGGCTCCAGCCAATCCCTGACTCTTCCCAGTCCTTGACTCCTCCCAGGCCCTGGCTCCAGCCAATCCCTGACTCTTCCCAGTCCTTGACTCCTCCCAGCCCCTGGCGCCAGCCAATTCCTGACTCTTCTCAGTCCTTGACTCCTCCCAGCCCTGGACTCCAGCCAATCCCTGACTCTTCCCAGTCCTTGACTCCGCCCAGCCCCTGGCTCCAGCCAATCCCTGACTCTTCCCAGTCCTTGACTCCGCCCAGCCCCTGGCTCCAGCCAATCCCTGACTCTTCCCAGTCCTTGACTCCTCCCAGCCCCTGGCTCCAGCCAATCCCTGACTCTTCCCAGTCCTTGACTCCTCCCAGCCCCTGGCTCCAGCCAATCCCTGACTCTTCCCAGTCCTTGACTCCTCCCAGTCCCTGGCTCCAGCCAATCCCCGACTCTTCCCAGTCCTTGACTCCTCCCAGTCCCTGGCTCCAGCCAATCCCTGACTCTTCCCAGTCCTTGACTCCTCCCAGTCCCTGGCTCCAGCCAATCCCTGACTCTTCCCAGTCCTTGACTCGCTCCAGCCAATCCCTGACTCTTCCCAGTCCTTGACTCCTCCCAGCCCCTGGCTCCAGCCAATCCCTGACTCTTCCCAGTCCTTGACTCCTCGCAGCCCCTGGCGCCAGCCAATCCCTGACTCTTCCCAGTCCTTGACTCCTCCAGTCCCTGGCTCCAGCCAATCCCCGACCTTACCCTGTTCCTGACTCCTCCCAGCCCCTGGCTCCAGCCAATCCCTGACTCTTCCCAGTCCTTGACTCCTCCCAGCCCCTGGCTCCAGCCAATCCCTGACTCTTCCCAGTCCTTGACTCCTCCCAGCCCCTGGCTCCAGCCAATCCCTGACTCTTCCCAGTCCTTGACTCCTCCCAGCCCCTGGCGCCAGCCAATCCCTGACTCTTCCCAGTCCTTGACTCCTCCAGTCCCTGGCTCCAGCCAATCCCTGACTCTTCCCAGTCCTTGACTCCTCCCAGCCCCTGGCTCCAGCCAATCCCTGACTCTTCCCAGTCCTTGACTCCTCCCAGGCCCTGGCTCCAGCCAATCCCTGACTCTTCCCAGTCCTTGACTCCGCCCAGCCCCTGACTCCAGCCAATCCCCGACCTTACCCTGTTCCTGACTCCTCCCAGCCCCTGGCTCCAGCCAATCCCTGACTCTTCCCAGTCCTTGACTCCGCCCAGCCCCTGGCTCCAGCCAATCCCCGACCTTACCCTGTTCCTGACTCCTCCCAGCCCCTGGCTGTCCGCTGCAATCGCTGACCCCATCTGGTGCCTGACCTGTCTAGGCTTAATGATCTGCTCACAGTCCCTCCCCGGGTGGCTGTAGCGCACGTGGCGTGTGTCCTTCGTGGGACATTCTCTTCCCGCCCATCTCTATTCCCAATTCATGCTTGCGTTACTGTGGAAACCCAGCTCAGGGACCCCCTCCCCTGCCATTCCCTCCCGTTACTCAGTTCCCCTCTCAAACCCTTGCTTATTTGTGTCTTCACACCATTCTTGACCTAGAGCTGTAAGCAACTTGAAAGTTCGAGACTGGGTTCCCCCTTGTCCTTTCCCTCTGGCTTGCATTGGGGTCAGACACAAAGGTTCACAAAACTGATTTAAATTCCTAGCAGGCTTTATCCAAAGTGTCCATTGCTGTCTCTTTTAAGTCAGGTTGGCAAGCTACAGCTAGAGGGTCAAATCTTTTTGAGGTCAAAAAAGGCCCACCACTTCTTTTTTTAAATAAAGTTTTATTGAAACACCACCCACCCATTAATTACATAGTATCTGTGAGTACTTCCGGGCATAGCTGTGTCCGTGTAACTGAGACAGTCTGACCCACAAAGCCTAGGGGGGTCTGTTCAGGGTGCAGGGGTGGAGGCCCTGCACCAGTTCTGGGGGCATGAGGTGGGACAAGAGCCGAGACTGGCTTTCAGCCGTGGCCCTGCCCAAGGGCACCGTCCAGAAACAAATCCTGGCCCCACACAGGGATAACAGAGACGCTCAGCACGCTCTGGAGAAGGACATTGAGGACAAACAGTCGGCCCAGTGCATCGACGAGAAGTGCTTCAACCTGAGGAACACATCAGACTGCATCAGCTACTTCCATGGCATGGAGAAAATGGACAACATGTGAGTCCAGCACTGGCCCCTCGGAGGAGCCAGGGAGCGGGGTTGAATGGGCCTTGTCGTCAGATCATTTTGCTTAAGGCCCAGCAAGAGAAGTGATGGGTGGACTTAGGGAGCCCCCCCCGCCCCCCCCCCCCAGGACCGGGCTAGCATCACTGTCAACCTCATGCCCACCACCATCATTTGGGGCTCAGGTCCGTCCACCAGCGCTGCTAGCAGCTCAGACTGAATTCCCACCCGGGGGAAGGGGCGGGGCTGTGTGCTTTGCAAATGGAACCGGGAGTTAAAGCACTTGCCTTACCCACAGCTGACATGGGTTCAAGCCTGGCATGGAATAATAGGGTCCCTGGAGCACCTCCGGGAGTGACCCCTGAGCACAGAGCCAGGCGTAAGCTCTGAGCACTACTGAGTCTGGCTCAACTCCCGCCCCCATCCTGAAGTTGTTTTTGCAGCTGCCCGGCTGAGGGTCTGACGGGGGAGGCTGCCCCAAGGCTACCCTCTGGCTCGTCATCTTACTTGCCAGTTGGGATCACAACAGAGCCAGCAGGAGGAGAGAGATGCTGTGCTTGTTTTTCCTGCGCTCTCTCTCTCCCTCCCCAGGCTGGGACCCTGGGGTTCAACTGTCCTCTCGGCAATCCTCACCACCCCCTCTCCCCCAGCTTCTGGGGGTGGGGGGCGGTCACGCAAAACACACCAGGCGTGGCTCTTCTCTGCTCTCTCTCTCCCTTGCTTGGGATTGGGTGGCCAGAAGACAGCGATGTCTGCTCCTCCCTAGGGCGCTCACTTGGTGCTCAGCACCCTGCTTGGCAATCAATGGTCAAAGGAACAATAAGACAGGGTTAGAGGCCAAAGGGACCTGCTGATGCTTGCACGGTCTCTGCTGGTGGCGGCAGGCAGAGCCTTTAGAGAGAGCCCCATCCACCTCTCCCCACGTGGTCTCGGGCTACCACTGTTTACCTCGAAGGGGTTGATCAGCCGGGCATTCTCGCTGGAGGGACGAGGTGAGGGGCTTTGGTGCACAGCCCTGCAACGGTCTTGGGCCAACGTCCAGTGACATTTTGGAGGGCGGCACAGGAACTGCGGTTCCCCTGACCCCACCCCACCCCACCCCCCGCCCTCCCCGCGGCGCTCAGGACGTGGCCCCCTTGCAGGGTCTCCGTGCCCGAGACCTGGGCCAAGTTCAGCAACGACAACATCAGGCACGCTCAGAACATGCGGGCCAACTCCATCCGGGTGCGCGAGGAGGCCGAGAACCTCTTCGAGAGCCTGTCGGATCAGCTGTGGAAGCAGTTCACCAGCACCAACCTGGCCTTCAGCGCCCGCATCGCCGAGGTAATGGACATGAAGAACAAGTTGCAGATGCAGCTGGCCAAGGTGAGCGCCTGGCCGCAGTGGGGAGCCCGGGGGGGGCGGCAGCAACCCCCATTTCCTTGCAGGCCAGGCCTGGCCGGAGGCGGGTGTCTGCCCCGCGGGGCCTGGACCCCATTGTGCGGCAGGAAACGCTTCCTCCTCATCTGGCGAGCAGCAGGATGTCTTCCGGCCATGCCTGCGGGTTTCTTAAATGTGCCCAGCTGACCACAGCAGTGGGCGGCCAGGGGGCAGTCCAGCATATCCATGGCAGGGCCTCGTCGCCGTCACTCTGACCCCGGCGTCCAGTGCGGGCTCCCTGGCCTCTCTCGTCGCCTAGTCTCCCTTTTGCACTGTCCCCTCTAGCCTCCAGGCCCAGAGGCAGTGGGGACCATTGAGGGGCCAGGCTCTTTTCTTTTGCTTTTTTTTGGGGTCGAGTGATAGCACAGCGGTAGGGCGTTCGCCTTACATGCGGCCAACGTGGCCGACCCGAGTTCGATTCCTCCGCCCCTCTCGGAGAGCCCGGCAAGCTACCGAGAGTATTGGATATGCCAGACACAGTAACAACAAAGTCTCCAATGGAGACGTTACTGGGCCTGCTCGAGCAAATCGACGATCAACGGGAGGGCCTTTTTTGGGGTCACACCTGGTGGTGCACAGGGGTTCCTCCTGGCTCTGCACTCAGGAATCACTCCTGGTGGTGCTCGGGGGACCTTATGGGATGCTGGGAATTGAACCCTGGCCAGCCTCGTGGAGGGCAAATGCCCTCCCCGCTGTGCTACCCAAGGGACCAGGCTCTTGTTCAGCCTCACTCCTCTGGATTCCCCGATCAGGAAGCTCACTGCCTACCATTAGTGGCAAGGAAACCTAGTTTTTCCACTCGTGGCAATGAAGAGATTCCCTCCCGAATACACTTGCAGAACAGGGGTTTCGCTGGAAGACACATGTTGAGTAGCTGTACCGACGGTTGGTGGCTTACGGGCAGGTGAACCCCCATGCGTCTCTCATCCTGACCTCAGCTTGCCCCAGGAATCCGGTCCTGGTGGGTGAAGTCCCGCTACACCCGGGGGCGGGGGTGTCCCGGATTGGGTCGCCAGAGCTCCGATGCGGGCAGCGCTGCCCCATGGCTGGGTGGAAGGATGTGGGGGGGTGGGGAGCTGCTGCATCCCTGCTGCTCTGTCCAGGGATGCAAACTTAGAGGGCTGCTGGACTCAGGAAAGCCAAGCCAAGGGCCAGAGCGGGACAAGCAGCTGGAGAGCTGGACAGGAGAGGGGGAAGGACAACGTCCAGCCTCAGCGCGGCCGACTGGCAAGGGGGGCTTGAGCATCAGTGAGGCTGTTGGCGCTGGGTTGAAGTGAAGCTGCCACTCTGTAACATCAGCCAATAGAATGCCTTGGTTGGAAGCCATGGGCGGGGCAATCGCTGGGATTGGGCCGTTCCCGTATGTAAATTGCAGCCTGGCATCAATCTCTCTCTTTCTCTTTTTTTCTTTTCGGGTCACACCTTTCGATGCTCAGGGGTTCCTCCTGGCTCTGCACTCAGGAATTACTCCTGCGGTTCTCAGGGGACCTTATGTGATGCTGGGGACCGAGCCCAGGTTGGCTGCGTGCAAGGCAAACGCTCTCCACGCTGGGCCACCGCTCCTGCCCCCGGTGGCATCTCTTGGTTGCAGGTGGGAGTCGAAGGCAGGGTGCTGCTTCACCTCCTCACGCCTCCCTCGTTGCCGTGTGTCCATCTTTGGTTCTGGGGCTGCTCGCCAGCTTGGGTCCGGCTGACGCTGGGCATTGCTCCTTCGCTGGCCCTTGGGCCTCACTCAGCCACACGAGCTTCTCCAGATTCACAGTTCCCTCCATCTGAGCCCTCCTAAGCATGCACCCTGGGGGCCAGAGCTGCGCAGGTGTCTGGGTTCAATCCAGGTGCCCCCATATCTGGCTTCTCTCTGGGATCAGCCCACCCACCGCTCTGTGCCTCTGTTTCCCCGTTGTTGAAAGGGGCAAAGGTTTGTGGTGCGACCCTGGGTATCTGGAGGTGAGCTCACTAGCACTCGATGCTCATTTGAACAACCGAGCTGGAGAGAGGGTGAAACAAGAGACAGGAAGAACAGGTCCCCCGGCATCCAGGAATCTGGGTGGGATCCAAGCCCCTCCTCCCAGGGATCTTGGGGGAGGTGGCAGACTCCACTCGATCTGTTTCCGAATTTGTCAGGTGAGGATGGTGCGCAAGTTGTCAGGGTAGGCGTCCAGAGAAGCCCGGGTCTGTCTCTAACAGATCAATTCTCATTGACTTGGTCAAAGGTGTGGCCAGGGCCACGGCCTTTGAGAGCCTCCCCAGATGATCCTCGTGGGTGGCCGGGATTGAGAAGCAGAAGTCCACACCCTGGGTTCCATGCAACGTCCCCCAACACCCGTCCAGGCCCCTCTGAGGTTGTCTAAATCTTCAGCTCTGGTGGTGGCAGTTGGGACGAGTGCACCAAAGGTGTCTGGGCCCAGGGGGCCACCAAATATCCGCCCATTTCCTCCCCTCACTGAGACAGATGACCCTTTGCCCATCCTAAGTACTAGCCTCTGGGTTGGGGTGAGACTCTAGGGGCATCCCCATTCCCTGGGGGCAGGGGAGGCGTCACTAAAAGGGAGCAGAGACACGATGACTTCATAGGAGTCTTGTGATGGGGACTGGCACTGTAGCACAGCGGGAAGGGCGTCTGCTTTGCACAGGCCGACCAGTTTCCACACCCTGCACCCCATGGGGTCCCCCAAACCCCGCAGGAGGGATCCCTGAGCACAGAGGAGGAATAAGTCCTGAGCACTGCTGGGTGTGGCCCCCCAAAGAATTGTGATCAGTTACGGAGGGGACCCACAGAAACCAGAGGATGACCGTGAATTTTCCAAGAACCACAGAAGCATCCTTTTGCAGAGGGACCCCCCACTTCTAGCCCCCCCCCCCCCAATCAGGAGACCTCCCCCACCCCTGCCAGATGGCTTCCCAGCACTGGAGATTGCATCGGCTAGGTGTTTTCTGTTTTGTTTTGTTGGGCCACACCCAGCAATGCTCAGGCTCTCAGGGACCTCTCCTGGCAGAACTTGGGAGATCATATGGGGTGGCCGGGGCGGGGGTGGGGTTGAATGCAGGGTGGATGGGTGCAAGGCAAATGCCCTCCCCACTGTACAATCACTCTGGCCCCATTTTTTTTTCTTTTTGGATCACACCCGGCGATGCACAGGGGTTTCTCCTGGCTCTGCACTCAGGAATGACTCCTGGCGGTGCTCGGGGGACCATATGGGGTGCTGGGAATCGAACCCAGGTCGGCCGTGTGCAAAGCAAATGCCCTACCCGCTGTGCTATGGCTCCAGTCGCATCCCCCCCGCACCCCCACAAACCATTTCTTGTTTTCTGAAGGGGGCTGGATGTCCTTGAACCTAGGAGCTGGCCTCCCCCGCGTCTCTCCTCTGCAGGGGCGGGTCTGCAGTGTGTGAAGATGCTTTGATGGTCAGGACTGGGGAGTGGGTGGAATCCGGCAGTGGGAAGCCATGGTGTTCGTCCCCAGGGGGGAGAGAGCAGCTGGGAGCACCCGCTCCGGAACATTCCCTGCAGGTCTCACCAGGTCCCACACCCCCTTCACCCCCGCCTCCCCCTCCTTGCTACTGGCCCAGAGCTCCCGAAAACCACTCCACACTTGAAAATCTTCCACCCCTTGACCAGAAAAAGGATTCCAGGCGGCCTTCTCCCTTCCCGAAAACTGCTCAGAGCCCCACGTCGCCTTGGAAACCCCTGGCCTCGGGCAGTCTGGAAAACAATCCGTTTGCAAAGTTGCACAAAGCGTTCGGAAGCCAAAAATCAGTCCCCTGGAACTGCTAAGTCCATTTTCCCCTCCACATCAAAAATAGTTTCCTGGCTTGGGAGGCTCTCTGCTGTCACAAGACGAGACGCAGGCAGAGTTTTCCAGGGCAAACCCCCCTTGCCAACACAGCCCCCCTCCGGAAAGCCTTTGGTTTGAAATTGAAGTTTGGGCCACTTTTCCGCTGAGTCGGGGCGCTTGGATCCAACGCAGCCCCTGGAACATGCTTTTTCACTCCCTCAACACGTCCCCGAGATATTTCAAGAGAGGATCGCACCCTTTGCCCGCGCCGGGGGGCTGCGGAATGCCCTCTGCTGTGTCCCGGGGGCTGTGAGGGCACAGGTCATGGTCTGCGTTGCCAATCTGTCACAGGGAGGAGGAGGAAGAGGCAAACTTAACCACCAACGATCCAGCAGCTCGATTTCTAAGTCCTTTTCTCACTAAAATCATCTTTTTCTTCTCCAGTCCTGTGAGGAAGGGTACCTCGATAGTCCCATTTTACAGATGGGGAAAACAAGGACAGGGATTGGTCTAAACAGGGCCAGAGCTATAGCACAGCGGGGAGGGCATTTGCCTTGCACGCAGCCAACCCTCGTTCAATCCCCGGCATCCCATATGGTTCTCCAAGCACTTCCAGGAGTAGTTCCTGAGTGCAGAACCAGGGGTCACCCCTGAACTCTACCGGGTGTGACCCAAAAAGCAAAAAAAAAATAAAATAAATAAACAGCCCTCCCCAATGGAAGAATGAGTATTTGAATCTCGGGGGTCTTGCTCTGATTAGGGGGACCTTTGTCCCAATCCTGCCAGATAACCAAATACCGGTGGGCTAGAGAACTCTGATGATCCCTAGCCCCTTCCATGGGACATTTGAGTTACACCATGGCAGGTGTGGACTAGGGTGATAATAATCTAGTGGGTTTGACAAGGAATGTGGCTCAACCTCCTCCCCAGCCCCCGGGCCTCACCATGGCTAACCAGCGCCAATGTCAATAGCGTTGGGGCCAAGAAGTCCTGGTTTCTTGGCATTAAGGTTTGACTTTTATTTGTTTTATCTTCGCTTTTGTTGGGAGGTCTTGAGTCAGACCTGGTGGTGCTCAGAGCAGATATGTGGAGGGATGGATGGAGGCAAGGACGGCTGGCTGGAGGGATACCTGATGGGTGAAGGAATAGACACACGGATGTATGGATGGGT